AACATCTTTGTTGGTATGTGGTGCTGAGGATCGAACCCGGGCCACACGCATGCCAGGCGAGCGCGCTACCGCTTGAGCCACATCCCCAGCCCCCTGAATTATTTCTAATGATAAATTTAAGATGCTATTTCTAGCCAGGCACAGTGTCATGCTAATCCCAGCTATGTGGGAGACTGAGGCAGGAGAATCACAAGTTTGAGGCCAGCCATGGCAACTTAGGGAAGCCCTCAGGAACTTAGTAAGACTTCTTCTCAAAATAAACAAGAAAAAGGACTAGGGATGTAGCACAATGGTAAAGCACCCTTGGATTCAACCCCTAATACTGGGCGGGGGGAAAAACTCTGTGTTTTTAGATTAGAGGCCTGACATAAAGCCCACATTGTACTTGGCTTTAAGTTCATGTAGTGTGTTAAGTTTTGCTGCTGTTGCAGAATGTGTGCAATCTCTTTTCAGCAGGATATCACATGATGTCTGATTCAACAGTTATTAATTACACTGAACTGGGAGATATCAGCCCATTACCAACTTAGGTTTAGAAAACTGGGTAAATCATTTCTATCAGAGTAAGAATTATTGTGAGATGTTGTGATTCTAGGAGCCCACTTTTCTACTCCTGAATTTCTGTGTGTAGGGTGTTAGAACACCAACTCTGCAACTCTCTGCAATGCAAGAAGGAGACTATACCTACCAACTCACGGTGACTGACACAATAGGACAGCAAGCCACCGCTCAAGTGACTGTTATTGTGCAGCCTGGTAAGTTCCATCCTTGGGGTTCAGACTCTTCTGATGGTTGGTCCCTTTGACCTTGGGGGAGAGGAAGGTTTGGAGTCTGAGCCTGTTTGAGGGTAGACGCAGAAAGCACCAACCCATGGAGCCTTGAAAGCAACTTCTTTCCTCCATTTCCCTCACATTTTCTTCATGGCTAGAGATGAAGGGTACTTCCCAGCCTCAGCTTGTGCCCTCACCTTGGCTAGTTACTGTGCTTTTATGTGGACCTAGGAAGTAGAGGTGACACCATCCCAAATCCTACTATGTTTCATAAGGATCAGCTTAAAACTCACTTCTCAAGAGAGCCCCCTCTTGTCACTCAARCCTTATAGCATTAGATTTCAGATTTAGCATGGCTTTATAACTGTGCTGTGTTCTGCCATGTTTCTTTCAGAATTGTTGATATATTTCAGTCTTATACTCTTCCTTTTTATCTCCCTGGTGGTATCCATCTCTCCCACGTATCTGACATTTTTGTGGGCTAAGAGGCAGTTCCCATGTCTACCAGAACATGTCTCATTAGGTCCTCTTCTATCCCACCTGGACTAGCTGCTTTTGACCTCCATGTTTCTCTATCTCTAGAAAACAACAAGCCCCCTCAGGCAGATGCGGGCCCAGATAAAGAATTGACCCTGCCTGTGGACAGCACAACCCTGGATGGCAGCAAGAGCTCAGATGATCAGAGAATTATCTCCTATCTCTGGGAAAAAACACAGTGAGTGTTGACACAGAATCCTGATCTATGCAAACAAAGGCTCTAGGCCATGGAAGAGCAAAGTTTTATGTGCTTTTAAGAGTTGACTTTTTTTTTTGGTAGTCCTAGGGATTGAACCCAGGGCCTTGTGCATGTGAGGCAAGCACTCTACCAGCTGACCTATATCCCCAGCCCTAAGAGTTGACTTATTTTTATTGGCTTATTCAGGAGGGTCACTGAGAAAGAAATGTTTATAATTCCAAACGTCATCTCTTAAGAAAATAATGCTACAAATAGTTTTTATAAGGAAAAAAGAATGCTTACCATTAGTCAGTCCCCAAATGGTACCGTATGGTCATGGTGCTTTTGTAGGTACAATCCATTTGCTGCAATGCAGTTTAATTACATTTGAGAGGCAGACTAAAAGGGGTAATGGAGCAGAAAATACCATTGTTCAAAATTAACTGGGTAAGGCTGATGGGGATGGGGCAAGAAGTTACCCAGAGAATTAAAAATTATCTATCAAATGAAGGCATTTCTCTGTTGTTTTCTTGGAAGACACCATATACCAGTTAATTTAGCTAGAGGCAAAGGCCATAGCCAAAATAATACTAATTAAGCTGAAATTACCTAATTGAACTGTTCTTGGTTCTCATGGTTTGTTTTAGCTTCTTTAAACTGTAACAAATGGAGCACAGATTTTATGCAGGATCCCACAGGAAGCAAAAGAATTAAAAGAGTTAAAAACATTCTTAATTTTCCAAGACAGCAACCATAGGACAGACTTTTTTTTAAAAATTTATACACACAGACACACACTTACACTTATTATTATTATTATTATTATTATTAAAGCTAGGTATTGCAGATGGTTGGAAAGGGGCTTTAGTTTCACCACAGAATCTACTTGACTTGTGATTGCTGAGTTGAATGCTAGAAATTATTTCACACAGCTCTTATTTCTGATTTTGGATAACCCAGTCTGTCTTCCTCAGCTTGCCATGTTTTCTCTTTAATTATTTATTGAAGAGAGGCCTGATGAACCTTTGAGCTGAATTTTAGTAGTATTTGTGGCAGAGAATACTTAGTAGAGTTTCATGGAGGAGAATCTGTTTCAGGAAAGGCTACGAGGGTCAGAGGTAATAAGTTTAAAAAGCAAAATGAACCAAAGCTGACTCTGAAGTCTGCAGGTTTCTCTGGTTTGTCCTTAATTTGAAGGAAGCTTGGGGGTGTTCAGGGCTCCACCTCTGTGCAGCCCTGGGCCTGGATGTTGGCACACAGGTCGCTCCCCTGCTGCAGGCTGCTCACTGAGCCGGATGCGAGAAGGCAGGATGCAGTTGTGCTGGTCCTCTGTAGCCATGTCCTGGAGGTGGAGGAAGCTTTGCTGATAGAACTTCTATGAAGAAGTTGCTTTGTCCTGAGAGGTCCCCTGCAGCCCTGGCTGTTTCCTTTCCTTGACTTTTCCTCAGGAGGGTCTTGGGCATGTGGTTAAGAAATGCATTTTGCTTATTTGCTGGCAAGAGATGAACCAACTCATGGGCCAGAAATACTTTTTAGAAACCTTATTCTTAAAGCATTTTGATCACAGACCTGCTTAGAGAACTTCATTCCTTTTATAAACTGGAGCAGTAAAGAGTTTGAATGCTCTAGAAACTCAGAAAGGATAAAACTAGAAGTGTTTGAAAGCTGRTGAGTAGAATTTTCTGACCAGCAGGTAGCCTGTATTTTGGGGACAAATGACACTTAGTCCAAATGGAATATTTTTAAACATGTCCTGTCAAGGTCTGGGAAATAATTGTTTGTGTCTCAGCTGAGGCATTAATGGTCCCCTCCTGCTGTGTCAGGGACAGGAGAGCGTCAGACAGATCCAACTCCACCCACAAATATTCTTTTTTTCCAGAGGACCTGACGGGGTGCAGCTGGAGAATGCTAACAGCAGCGTTGCCACTGTGAGTGGGCTGCAAGTAGGGACTTACGTGTTCACCTTGACTGTCAAAGATGAGAGGAACCTACAAAGCCAGAGCTCTGTGAACGTCATTGTCAAAGAAGGTATCTATCTCTCTGCCTCAGGTTTGTACAGTACCCTCTTTGGGTCAGATGGCTGAGAAATCTGCCATGTCTTGTTTGGCTGCAGACATTGATTAGTGATAAGAGGTGGGGAATAAATTGGGGTGAGGGTAGCTACCATTTGCTTTTCTAAAGCAACCTTTAATTGAGAGTGAGTGAAATACGAATTTTAACTTCCTTTTCTCCCTTCCTCCCATGCTGCCCTCTTTCCCTTTTTTGTCCAATTGAATAGGACAAGAATTAGGGTTCAGCATTTTGATTTTGCTGCTAAGACCTGGGTTTCCATGATTCTCCCGCAAACTACAGTGACACCTGCTGTCAGGCCTTAGAATGACTGTGCTATACTGCAGCTTCCTGCGCCTGTCCTTTGAGCCCACAAGCTAAGGCCAATGTGAGGCAGGAGTTGGTTGAGCTGCCCTGAATTGGCAGGCACAGTGACCAAGAGGGACTCTCAGCTGATGGTAGAAAAACCCACCATCCAAGGAGGGGTGGCCCTAGTGTGGTCTGTTGTGCTGAGTCCCTACTGAGTTACACCCGAGTTACACCCAAGCTGCTTGGTGGCCCAGGAACAGAGAGGTCACTGTCTTTTCTCTGCTGTAAAGTACCAAGGAAGGAATGAGAAAGATATTCAGATAATAACATTTTAAGATATTTTAAAGAAGAATTTGTGATATCAGCTGAATGAAACCTATCCTAAGGCTTTAAGCTTCATTGGGCCTTTGTTTCCAGTTATCATATAACTCCAAGATGGGGAAGTGGCTTCTTCTCAGGAAGGTTGCTATGAGACCACAGGAAGAAAGTACACTTGTTCCCTGCTCTGGGTAGGACTGGAGCTTCTGCAGCTCTGGTGRCTTTAAATTTGCATTGCTGGTTGCTGACACAGACAGGCATTAAGACGGCTCCCTGCTTAAGATGCTCATTTAATTTCCCCGTAAGTACCATGAAGCAGCATTCCTTCTTTTCCAGAAGGTCTCATTAATTCAATGACTTATCTTTGGTTAGAAATGAACAAACCACCCATAGCCAAGATATTGGGGAATGTGGTGATTACCTTACCCATGAACACAGCAGAGCTGGATGGCTCCAAGTCCTCAGATGACAAGGGAATAGTCAGCTACCTCTGGACTCGAGATGAAGGGAGCCCAGCAGCTGGGGTAAGTGTGCCAGGAACTGAGGAGCTACAAAGTTTAAGTAGCAGCTGGTGAGGAGAAACCAACACTCCAGGGTCTGTTTTAACAGGCTCGTGGTATCAAACCTGGATTGTTCTCCGAAATCCAGGGAAGTTAAGTGGCTTATTCTGAGTTTCTCTACAACTAGTGTGGCACAGAATGATTTCTGTCCCTTGATCCTAGTAGCTGTGGGTGGCAGTGCTGTGATGGATCAGGAACTGACACAGGTGGAAACAGTCCCGCCTAGATAGAGCCTCGTTATGGCAAAAGCAGCAGCTGACTCCAAGAAAGGAGTGGTGTTTTGTTCTGCAACATAGCTGTGTTGTTCAACCCCACAGGAGGTGTTGAATCACTCTGACCATCATCCTGTCCTCTTTCTTTCCAACCTGGTTGAGGGAACCTACACATTCCACCTGAAAGTGACTGATGCAAAGGGTGAGAGTGACACAGACCGGACAACTGTGGAGGTGAAACCTGGTGAGTTCAATTAGTGATAACTGAGTGGAATTGCCAGATGGGCTGAAGGAGGCCTCTGTCTTGAGATGCCTTTCCATCTAGCATGGCATGCCCAGTTTGAAAAACAATCTAGAGCCAGGTGCCGTGGTACATGCCTGTAATCCTAGCGGCTCGGGAGACTGAAGCAGGAGGATCCCAAGTCCAACACCATCCTTAGCAACTCAGCGAGGCCCTAAGCAACTCAGAGAGACCTGGTCTCTAAATAAATTAAATATAAAAAAGGGACAAGGATGTGGCTCAGTGGTAAAGCACCCCTGGCTTCAATTCCTGGTACCAAAAAAAGAGAAAAAAGAGGAAAAAAAATGGGAAAGCAATCTAGAAATCCCATGCTGAAAAATCCTTAGAAACTTCTTACTCCGACAGTACCCCTCCTACCTATGCAGGAATGTAGACCTCCCCTTGCTTATCTCAGATGGAGAAACCAAAACAGACAGGGCAAGGCTTGCTCAGTGTCACACAGCAGTTGTGCCAGAGCCAGGCTTTTGTKCCCTGGCCCAGCACTTTGTCCTCTACCATGGCTGAGGAGATAGGGCTCAGGTGCACTGGGAACCTGAGCACAGGAGTAGCTCAAGTCATGATGTTGCATCAGCACCAGATGCAGAAAACTATTTTTATAAGTTGAGCCTCAGACTTTATCTGACAGCTCAGGGAAGATAATGTGACTTGTGTCCTGTGTACTTTTGAGATTTCTAGAAATAAAATTTCCTTCTTAAATAGAACCACATTTTTGTTTTGTTTTGAGACTAATTTGGTGGAACTGAGTGTGGAGGTGGGGCAGAGCTTTGTAAGTCCCGGGGCTTTTGATGAGCAGGTATTAACTTTTAGCCTACTCTTGCCTAGGTCAAGCTCATGCATGGATGTCACAGATGGGAAGGGATCTTGGGAAGTCTTCCAGGCCTTGTCCTGCCTCTGGGAAGGACAACAGCCAAGACACCATAGAGTTTCTTCTGTGTTCCAAGTCAGATCAGAACAGGCAAATGGTGCATCTAAGTGTTTGTGAATAAGGTATTCTGAACAATTCACTTTAACTTGTAAATGTGGAATAGTCTTTAGGACATGTTCAGAAGTAAAGTGTGGTAGTCTTTCAGTTCTGGACTTGTAAAAAGACAGTGTAGCTGTGGGGTTGCTCTAAGGAAATCCTTCCTTCTCAGCTACCTGGATTTTCTTTATTTTTCATGTATTTAAACCTATAGAGATGGATGCATTCACAATATTGAAAATGACCAATGAGACTGAGATGAACATTTTTCCTCCTGTTGTCACAGACAAAGTACACCAAGTCACTGAAAGTAAGATGGGGTCAGGAGAGACTGCAGGCTCCCTGCTTGGCCTGGAAAGCTCAGAAGTGCCATAGGGACACTGCAGTGTACTTTCCTCCCCTGTCCCTTCACTAAGCCTTTGCCTCCCTGCTTAGCCTTGCCCCCAGCACACATGTGGCCATTCTCAGGTTGGTATAAAGCTTTCCATGCCAGCCCCAGATTGCCTTGTGAGGAATTTRCTGTCATCCCTTACCACTGACTAAATGCTGTCACTACTTCCCTTCCTGTGACTAAGCAAATGCACAGTGGCAGGTCTGTGTTAACTCTCCTACTTCCAAAGCCATGACCAATCCACATGCTTTCCAGATCCCAGGAAAAACAACCTGGTGGAGATCATCTTGGATGTCAACGTCAGTCAGCTAACTGAGAGGCTGAAGGGGATGTTCATCCGCCAGATTGGGGTCCTCCTGGGGGTGCTGGATTCCGACATCATTGTGCAAAAGATTCAGCCGTACACGGAGCAGAGGTAGCTGGGCAATAATTGGGGGGAGAAAAGGAAAGATCAGGGGGTAGACGGAGAAGGGTGGGCTCTCTAATCAGGAACCACTCATGGTGTMCATCTCATTAATGAGCTGTCTTCTGGCACAGGTCGCATGCTCTGTACTACATAGCAGCCAGTTGCTAGGGCACAATAAGGTCTGAGGGGGGCCCTTTACTTTGCAGGCTACAATCTGGGAAAGGAGATAACCAAGTAAACACCTCATCTCAATATGGGGCAGATTTGACACAATATGAGCTATCAGGGAACTCAGAGGCAAGGGCAGTCCATTCTGGAGAATTCCAGGAGAGCCCAAAGATTTTCCAGAAGTAGAACATGCTTTGACCAGCACAGGAAAACTAGAAGGAAGTTCAGAAGAGAGAAGCACCATGAACCGTGACCTTGAGGTGGGAAAGTGCCGGGTTTCTTCTGGAAGAAGTCATTTGGTTCAGAGCGTASTGGGCCCCAGGATATGGTCAAAGAAGGGCTGCCTGTGGAGCCTGAGAGGAGTTGAGTGTGACAGTTTGGGTGGGAGAACCCAAGTAGTTTGTTTTATGTGTGTGGGGTTTTGTTTGCTGTTAAAGCAAGGGTATAACATATTTAGATTTTTTAAAAAGTCAAATCAGTAGGGTGGAGGTTAAACTAAAATGAAAAGAGACAGAGCCTGGGAGGCTAATCAGAGGCCTTCTGGACTAGCCCAGTGAAAAGGTGGTGACCCTGAATTCAGTGGTAGAAGCAGAGACAAATGAAAAGAGCAGAGGCAAACTAGCAGGCCTTGGGGGTCCTGGGAGATGGAAGGTGTGTGGGATGCTTTTGGCTTGGAGGTCTGGATGGATGGTTCAGGCCATTAACTGAGGTTAGGGAGGAAGGAGGAACCCATTTTGACTATTGAATTTGGGGTGTCTTATGGGCTACATGGGGAGATGTTCCATTTGGTCCTAAGTATAGGCAGGAAGTCAGGGTGGAAGGAGAGCCGGGGTCACCAGTGTCTAGGCAGAAGTCAAACCATGAGGATGGATGAGTCACACCGGGGCGCGGCAAGAGGGCAAGGACAGAATTCTGGAGAACACCGGTATTTAAGGAAGAGGCAGAAGAAGTTGAGGCAGCAGAGGAACTCAAAAGAATAGCCAGGGAGGTAGGAGGAAGCCAGGTGACAGTGATCTGCTGGAGGTTGAGGTACAGTCTGGCATTGGGGCTACTGTAGCTTCGGAGGCTGGTGGTGCAGTGATAATGTGGAACAGCTGGGGGTGGGTGTGCTCCCCACATCGCCAATGACGGCAGAGGGCAGGTGTCCCGGTCTGAGGTAGAGCTTCTAAATAGGAAACCTGCAGAAGCTGATGCTGGAAGTCCTATGGGGGACGGGATGAAAATAGGCCTTTTCAAGACAGTAATTCCTGGAACTTCTATATCTATTGAGGGCAAAGTGCTGAGGAAAAGGGGGTGATGGAGGTGAGTGGAGGGGACTGGTGTGGTAGATCCGGAGGAAGAGGAGGAAGGGGAGGTACTGTAGTGGGAAATTGGAGTGTTGATGCCAAGTCTCATGTTTTGTCTGTGGCAGGGGCAGGGCCATCTGCCTAGCAGAGGGGAGARTGAGGTGGGAGGCAGGGGAACGGGGAAAGTCTGGAGCAGCTCTGCAGAGGGCGCCAGCTTTGAGCAGCACTGGGGTCTCYGTCCGGTCCGAGTTAGAGACGTGASGGGAGAGCAGTGCTTCCCACTTTGGGCTGAGCACAAGAATGACCTGGAACTTTATGAAGGTACATTGCCCAAGCCTCATTCCTGGAGAGGAGCATTTGCTGGAGTGGGACTTGGGCTCCTAAGGCTTAAAAGCTTCCCGGGGATCTGATGTGCAGTCAGGGTAGACTAGGTAAACTAGAGGCAGTTTGATTAGGACTCACTCATTCACTCCTTCCTTTGTTATTATTATCCCTTCTTCTTTCTTCTTCTTTTTTCCTCCTTCTCCTCYTCTTGGTATGCTCAGCCAACTAGGAGTAGCGATAAGGCAAAATCCAAGTTGGTGGGAATTGGGTGGGTAGAAGCAGTGAGGAAAGGTTTTAGACACAGTGCTGGGAACAGCATTGTTGGTGGGTGTGCTTGGACTTGCCATCACTGCATATGGGGCACAGGGAAGAGAGAGGCATCTGGATTTCTCTGGGTTCCTGGCTTGGACTAGGTTGACTGAGTTGAGAATTCAGGAGGAGCATGTGCTTGGGGAGTGGGGTGTTATAGCCCTTGCGCACCAGTGTGAGCCCTGATGTGCACAGGCCACTTCACCTCTCGGAACCTCTTTATCACCTGTGAAAATGCTAGTACCTGTTTTATAAGATTGATATTGAAGATTGAATAACATGATATTTACGTAAGTCCCTAACATAGCATTCAATGAATGGTTTTTACCATGAGTTTATTTTGAGACATGTTGGGTTCAAGGTTCCCGAGAGATCTGGAGTAGATATTCTTGCAAGCATTTGCAGGTATAGAGTGGTCACTATTGGTCCTGTGGGGAACGGAGATAAAGATGTGAGGATTATTAGCATTCCAGCAGAAATCGAAGCTGTAAGTATAGAGTAGGTAACTGGGAGAAAATAATGGGAAATGGACCATATATATCTTTTAAGGTGTGTTTTCTTGATTTTGGAATCTGTAAGACTTCATTKTTATTCTCACTTTTAGCAAGCTTTTAGTTGATGATGGTTCTTCCCAAAATTTATGTTATTTCATGCATACAAAATGATGAGTGTCTGCACTGACACCTTGGGAAAAATATAAAGGCTGTTTATATTGGCAGCAACTGGTCCAGGGCCTATGGGATACCTGGGTCCTCCTAGCCAACCTACATGCTGAGGGGGTCAGTATCTTGGGTTTAACCCAGTGTGACCCACTGATTATGGAAGGTTTGATTTATGGAGTTCAAGAAGCATACTATCAAAAATTAAGGCTTAAGGCTGGGGTTGTGGCTCAGTGGCAGAGAGCTTGCCTAGAACCTGTGAGGCACTGGGTTCGATCCTCAGCATCACATTAAAAATAAATAAATAAACAAACTAATTAATTAATTAAAGATAATGTGTCTATGTACAACTAAAAAAATTTTTTTAAAAAACAAAGGCTAAGACACAGAGAACAGAATTTGTGCTACCCATATACGGGTTCAGACATGGTTCATCTTGAATAGAAATTGACCCTCAGAAAGCAAAGAGATTCTGGGCATGGAGTAACAGTGTTGTACCAGCCACACCATCTTATTTTTGCTGTTATAGTAACAGTCGCTTTGGCTTTTGGGGCCTGTGGATAATCTTTGATACTTTCCAACAGTTTACATTTTATAAAGCACCGTGGTTGGTTTAATCAGTAACCAAGCCACAAACCCAGCAGCACCACTGTCGGGTGTGAAAGGCTGCCGATAGGTATATTGGCATGACGAAATCCCCAATCTTCTCTTTCTCCTGTTACCTGTTTGAAATGGGTGATCCTGTTAGTTGGGGCATTGTTAAAGTATAGGCTTTGGAGTTCAGACATGACAGGGTGAGGATCTGGCTCTGTCATAATTAACTGTGTGACCTTGGGCAAGTTACTCAACCCCTCTGAGCCCCATAATTGTCCTCTGAGAAATGAAGATGGCACTGATAACACCTTTCTGTGACAGAATGCATGTGATCCTCACCAGTGTCGGGCACAGCAGAAAGTGCTTAGTAATTAGTGCTAGCTCCTGCTGCCCCGTGGATCCCTCATGTTCATCATACTATCACATGTCTCCGCAGCACCAAGATGGTATTTTTTGTTCAGAATGAACCTCCGCACCAGATCTTCAAAGGCCACGAGGTGGCAGCAATGCTCAAGAGTGAGCTGCGAAAGCAAAARGCAGACTTCCTGATATTCGGAGCCCTGGAGATCAACACTGTCAGTGAGTAATCCCGGGACGGGATGAGAGCCTGCCCCTCTGCAGCTTTCCTCCTCCCGGCTGTGCTCATCTCCTTTCTGTGGGAACTTTCAGTTGTTTTCCTTCACCACCATTATGGCAAGGAGTCCCCATTCACCTAGGGGTCCTTACCTTGTGCCCCATGCCCATGTGCCTAAGGTGGTGCCTAAGGGAGGCTGCAATGAAAAAATTACATCTTTATTTTCACTATCCTCAGGTTGAAATTCATACTCTCCCTCAGTTGCACAGGTGGGCACTGTTAGCAGCACCTGTGTCTGAAGGCAACAGAAATCACAAATCATCTATCACATTACATGACAAAGTACCATTTTTACTCATTACTACTTCAGCATTACAATAGTACTTAGACATCTTATTACTTAATGTTTTAATAAAGGCGCTTTATTTTGAAAATTTGTGTTCTTAAGTATTTCAAAACCATATTCACTCTATTTCCTTTGTAATACTATATATATTGTCCTATTGGTTTTATTGTTCTGAGAAGCGGGTGTATGGGACACAAAAGATGAACAGTCTCTTACAGAACAAGGAAGACCAACTGGAGCTGTCTCTGGGGGCCTTGGTGACCCCTCCGTCTCGTGCAGCATGCCCCAGCCATGCTGGGAAAGCTCCTGGGTCTGGGCTGCAGGAAATGGYCTTGCCTGAGTGTCTTCACAGCCTGCATGCTGGGTGTTGGTTGTCCCCTGGGCTCTGACTGTCAACGTTTTCCCTCTCCTGCCACCTTCAGCATGTCAACTGAACTGTTCTGAGCATGGCCACTGTGATTCATTCACCAAAAAATGTATCTGTGACCCTTTTTGGATGGAGAATTTCATCAAGGTGCAGCTGAGAGATGGAGACAGCAATTGTGGTGAGTCTATGTAGCCCAGATTGGTTGCTTTGGCTGTAGTGTGGATCTGCACCAAGGGGACAGGTATTTCTGAGGAGAAGGGCAGGCGAGGAAAGAACTCTTGTGTTTTCTGTTTGTAGGGGGCTTTTCCCTTTTTCTTCACACTTGCTCAACTTTAGTGGAAAATCTGGGCATAGTGTTTATGCCTGTAATCCTAGCATCTTGGGAGGTTGAGGCAGGAGGATAGCAAGGTTGAGGCCAGACTGGGAAACTTAGTGAGATCCTGTCTCAGAATAAAAAATAAAAAGGGCTGGAGATGTAGCTTAGTGGTAGGTGCCTCTAGGTTCAACCCTCAGTACTAGGGAGGAAAAATTAAACTCTGGAGTACTCACGGAAGAAGAATGAGGTTTACGTCGGACCAGCTGCACACTGCAAGCAGCCTACCACATGGCTTCTGTCCTTTTGGAGCATATGCATGCTGTCGCCTGATGGAAGCCTGCAGTTCGTCATGTAGAGCTCTGTGCCTGCACACTACTGCAGGACCTCAGGGTATTCATGGAGCAGGGCCTGGGATGCAGGGGCCTTTCAGAAACATGCAGCTGTCCTGGACTCCAGGGTCTTGCCTTTCCATGTGTACAGTTGGAAGCCCCCAGGGGACAACTCATTTCTGCCTTCCAGGCTCTCTCTTCCCAGCCCTCACTATTTTGATTTTCTTGGCAGAATGGAGTGTGTTGTACGTTATCATTGCTACCTTTGTGATTGTTGTTGCCTTGGGGATCCTGTCTTGGACCACAATCTGTTGTTGTAAGAGGTAGGATGGATTCTCCTTTGAAACTCATTTGGGGGGCTTGTCATTTGGTACCTTCCACATGGAAGAACCACAGTCATGGTTGGAGGGGTTTGGATCACTCAAGGTCTGTGCAGAAAGTTCCTCACCCTCAAACCCTGCTGAGGGCAGGTGCACTTGCCTTTGGTCAGGTGGGGAGACTGCCCCTGGGGATATCTGCAACCTCAGAACCCTGGGGTAGGGGAGAGTGGAGCAGATCCCACCCAAGTGCATGTCCTTGGATGCTCCACACCTGGCCTTACACTAGAACACAGGAGTTTTTACTCTGCGTCCTCCCTAGTTGAGAATTGTATGTATGTCTGATTTCACACAATTGTAGACTTGGATTTTCGATGATGAGTGGTCTAGGTTTCTTCGTTTTATATAGCCTTACAACATTTCATAGTTACATTTATTATATGTTTTTCATTATTAGTATGATTTTTGTGTTTACTGTGTTTTATGACATTTGATAGGTAATATCTTTTTTATAACCATAGCAGCCTTTTCTCGTTTTATGAATAAGGAAACTTAGGTTCAGAAAATCATGTCACCTGACTGAGAAGCAGTAAGTGACAGGGCTGGGATTTATCCTACAATGTTACCTCATGTRGGACTTAGAAAGTTAAAAGAACTTAAAAAATCCCACAGCCTGAGACAACCACCATGAGCCAGCTCAGTTAACCAGGAGACGTGCTGCTCCCTCCGCCCACACTGCTAGTCAGGTTCCTTTTCTGTGCGTTTCCACCAGTGGTCCTTGTTGATCTATGGAGTGACGAGGCCACACTAAGGTGGTCACAGCTCCCTTGCCTTCCTAGGGCTGGGAGGAACATTTTATGAGGAACAAATCACAGTTACCACCTTCCCTGGCTGCAAAGTGAGGAGAGCCACCCCCACAGGGACACCCTGCATGCACTGGCCCTTGTCCTGAGCCTCAAGAGAACCTCTTTCCTGAGCAGATGGGAATTGTGTGTTTTAGGCAAAAAGGAAAACCCAAGAGGAAAAGCAGGTACAGGATCCTGGATGCCACTGATCAGGAGAGCCTGGAGCTGAAGCCGACCTCCCGAGCAGGTAGGGCCTGGAAGCTGGGGCTGTCATCGCTAGCTCATTGCTCCACAGCTATGTGCTGCACAAGCATATTGTTCCCTTGCCTGCTGAAGGTCCCCTGGGTGGCAGAAGCCACATGCAGGACAGGCTGTTTCCTGGGCTGACATCTCAGTGCTCCTTTTGCTCTGTTGAGATGCCAGGCCTCCTGGTTCCTTTGCCTCCCATGTGGTGAAGGTTAGGGTCCTTGGCCCCTTATGCCTGTCCTTTCTGGACAGACAGCAGATCAGAACAAGTGTCTGCTGGCTTACTTCCTTCTCAGTCACCTCCTTCCGCCTTCCTCTCTCCATCATCTGTGGGTCCACAGCTGCCATCTTTGTCTTAGGGTCAGTGGGCAGGCAGCTACCCTGCTGGCTGTGTTTCAAACACTGTCACATGCTTCCCACAGAAGGATGGATTTCCTACTGCACCAGACTGAGTGGTGGCACTGGGGGAGTTAGGCGGGTTTCGGGCCTCCCTTCTTTCTCAGGCCTGGTTACTTGGTGAGGTCCCCTTCATCATATATGCCACAGAACAGGTGCCATTGGCCTATGGGAGCTGTGCTCCATATAAATTATTCCAAACCCTCTGCAAGTGGAACCATTTTAAACACCCCTCCTGCTTCAGGCTTTGTGTTAGAGGAGGCTGCAGGGGGTAGTCCTGACAGGACTGCCCTCAGAGAAYTTCGGCCTGGTTGGGGAGACGCATCTGCAGAGAAAAAGTGTTCTTGGGCAGGCAGCCTGGGCCCTGAGCCTGAGCAGCTCTGTCTGAGCACTGGGTGGCGGGGCCTGCTATGATCCCAGCACACCAGGGAGCAGAGGACTGAGGAAAACCACAGTGCCCACCCCTGCAGTGGCATTACTCTTAAGACTGTTTTTCTCCCTCTTGGAGTCTTTTCATGACTTACTATTTCCAGCACAAAAAGCTACAGGGCGAGAAGTTCACCAGGGCCCTTCTCTTGTGGGCAGCTTCTGGCCAGGGAAGCAGGAGACCCACCAATGGGTCTGAGCAGCCAGAAGGGCTAGCTTGGGCTCTGGCTCTGTGGAGGACTAGGTCCAGCAAGGGCACAGCCGCTGCAGGATGCTGTTTGGGATTCAGCGACACATTGCATGGTGTGGAGCTGCAGAAGTTCAGCTTGAAGAGGAGGAGCGTGGGCATGTGGCACAGAGAAGGGAGTKTGTGGCATTGAGCCCGAACAGAGGCACGTCAGGTGTCGGCTGTGAAAGCAGGGCAGCTGCGTGGAGCCTCTGAGGGTTACAGGGAGCACAGAGATGCCCGTCCTCAGGAGACCAGGTCTGCAGTCAGMAATTCTGGTTTTGTTATTCTATTGATTTTTTTCAGACTTGTATTAAAGTATAGTAGATTGAACCATATAAAATTACTGGTATTTGACTTTTTTGACCTACTAAATGATAGTTTGTGTTTCAACCTATTTTGGTCAGAAAATCGTAGGTATAGCAGTGCTTGGTCTCCACAGGTGAATGAGCTCATGTAATTAGCTCCCCAGGTCCCCCCCTTTGTGCTTCTGTCCTGTCAGTGCTCTTCTCCCAGTTCACACTGGTGTCTTGGAGTAGTTTATATGAAAGGAATCATCATGTGTTTGGCACCTTTCACTCACCATCAAATTGATGAAATTTATCCGTGTAATTCATTCACATTGCTATCTAATTTCTGTTGTGTGACCCACGTGYTCCTCATGGTCCCTGGTTTGTGTTCTAATGAAATAGCTGCTTGGGACTTCAAAAGTCCCCACTCCTGCCATGTGCCTGCTCTCCCACCTCCAGTGCCCACCCAGTGAAGCCAGAGTCAACCCAGAACCACGGAGCCAGCACTGACACGGAGTGAGGCTGCATCCTCACGCTGTGTTGGGGACTCTGTGTCCACACTGAGCCAGAAGATGGCTGGAGGCTCATTCTCCAGGGTCTGTGTTCTCTGGCTTTCCTGTCTTCCACCTCATTCCACTACCCTATTCAGAAAGGGATGTGATAAAACACCCCAAATCTAGAAAGAAAGAACAGTACTGGGTGGCACTAACAGAGCTCAGGGACACTGGGGGGAGGACCCAGCAACAGAGCCCAGGTTTCATCCCCAGGCTGTGCTTTCTGTGACTTCCCTTAGTGGACTGTCTCAGCCATCTGAGACAGGGAGGATGTGTCCTTGTATCTGCCTGGCCTAGAGAGGGGGCCTTGGCTCTCCYTGTTCCTTGGCCCCTGTTTGGGCTGGGGTGAGGGTGCAGGGTGTGGCTCAGGCCTGGGCAGGGCTGTCTCCTGACCCTGGGGTTCCTCGTCTTCCTTGCAGGTGTCAAACACAAAGGCCCCATGCTGAGCAGCAGCCTGATGCACTCTGAATCGGAACTGGACAGCGATGATGCCATTTTCACGTGGCCAGACCGGGAGAAGGGCAAGCTCCTGCATGGTCAGAATGGCTCTGTACCCAACGGGCAGACACCGCTGAAGGCTAGGAGCCCACGGGAGGAGATCTTATAGCTATCTGGTCTGTCTCCTCAGAGTAGGGGTTGGTAGTGCCAGGGCCCAAGCACTGCCAGGCTGGTTCCCTATCACCCAGGTCCCAGGGCAGCTGATCTCCCAGTATATGCTGGTCACTCCACCCCAACCCCCCACCCCAAAACTACTGGTACTTGAATCACAGACACTGTCCAGGAACCCATGAGCGAAGCTGTGAATGAAGAGATTTCCTCTTTGAACCTGTCTGGTAGGCCCCCAGAACATCCTCACCTCAGGGGCTCCTTTATTGCAAGTCCCTCTTCCCCACCCAAGGGCAAGTACGGCCTGCTTCAGCATCCTCTCCAGCTGCCCTGTGGTAGTGCTACTGGACCCAGGGTGCTACACAGAACCAAGAGCCAACAGCCTCCTGGCTCCAGGGGCTCAATGGAGGGTATGTTCTTTCTTCTCTTCTCTGGGGCATAGTGGGCCCCCTGGCAAGGCCAAGAGGATGTGGCATCCCTGCCCCACCACAGATACTAGAACACTAGTGAGAAACAACGCCTGGCCCTTGGCACTGGAGCCTGCTCCCTTCTCTGATCAGCACTATCAGGAGAGGACTGGCTGTCTGGGGGTGATGAGGGGCCCTGGTTTTGGGGGCTTTTGTGACACAAGCAGTGTCCCCCTTTCTTCCTCTGACTGGCAGCTGCTGCTTCCAGGCTCAGGCCACCACTCTGTGTCCCTAGAGGAGATAGCCACAGACTGGAATGTTGTGGCATGAGAGTGCATGTGTGTGACTGTCCACTGTGGTCTCCCAGTCCCTCCATCTGTGTCTGCTGCACATGTGTGTTGAGTGAACGCGTGCGTATCTTCTCACTGGGCTCTTGGCTGCTCAGAAGGAAACTTTGACTCAGTCTCTCAGCTCCGTGAAACAGAGAGGAATCCCACTGGTTTCTGTCACTGTTCCTCAGACCTACTAGCTGGGAATTGAGGAATGGGAGCTTTGGGGGAATGACTTCTAAAAAGAGATAATTTCTACTACTGCACTACTACTGTGTGTTGTAAGATGATTAAACATATATTTAATTGTGTGCCTACATCTCTGACCTGTGTCACAGGGCTAACCACGGTTGCAGCCTGCAAGCTCTTGCCCCTGGCAGGCAGTTTTGGACCTGCCATCAGCACATGTGACCCATGGTGCTGGGTCCTGCCTGCAATGGTGGGTGGGAATGCAACACTCCTACCCTTTGGCTAAGGGAGGTGAGTTTTTTGTTCTTCCTTCTCATACCTTTGTCCCTCTATGACTAAGCTAGGGGACAGAGTGTCCTAAGATCCAGAGTAAGACCTTAAGAAATTTTGGCCACTGCTATTCTCTTTTGTGTTAACCAGCTTTAAGTGTGTGTACTCCTCATAGTTCACGGAGCCCTTTGCTGCATATGTGAGAGAGGGGAAGGGCTGGGCTAAGAAAGGGAGATGAGAGCAAAGGCCACTGAACCTGTGCTTTGCCCAAGCTCTGTATAAAAACCAGCTGCAGGGGGGCAGCAGTGTCTCTGATCTTACAGGTCCAGAAGTTRAGCCATAGTGAGAAGTGGTTCAGTCCACACAAGCAGTGACTGAACTCGGGCTCAGCAGAGCCCCCTGCTCACACTGCTCAGGGCTTCTTCAGAAATAGTCCCTGGGTTAGGTCTGGGATGGAGCATGAGAATTTGCCTAATGATGTCCTAGAAGATGCTGAGCCCCCCCTGGTGCAGGGCCCCAATCTAAGGACCTCTAGGTGAGAAATGCATGGTCAGCCTCTTTCTCGCGTGCGCACACAAGCACGCAGGGCTGTAGCCTTTCCATCCTGAATGATGGTGGAGGGAGTAAGTACAGAGACCTCTATCTTGTCAAGGGGTGTACTCCAAGTGGGGCCAATCTGCTCAGCTGGGAATGGTAGGGCTGGATGATGCAGTGCTCCAGTCTGAATAGCCACAGCAGGTGGGCTCAGGGCCCAGTGGGCCATAGGGGGAGGAACCTGACAGAAAACATTGAGTAGAAACTATTCAATATTTGCAGTTTGGGCAACAGAAACAATGGAGCTGAGTGAGGCTTGCTGGGGCAGGTGAAGTGTAGGAAGGTAAGGATCTGGTGAGGCTGGGGCACTGTGAGCAGCCTCCAAGAATTCAGGAAGGCTCTACAGGGTTCAAGTGCTCTGGCTTTCTTTCCCCTGGCCTGTCTGGTAAGCAGCGGGAGCTGCAGAGATCCTCACACACACTGAGAGAATATGCCTGCAGTCAGGCCACCAGTCTCCAAGATAGACTGAGGGAACAGCCTTGACACTTTTGTGGATTTGTGTTGACTGGTTGGAGGGCCCCTATATTATTTCTCTAGCCAAACTTGGCCACTGCTGTAATCTTCCACTCCTTAACTCCCCATCTGATGATGGTGGCTACCTAATGTCTATTAGTATTAGGCTGTGGCCATCCACTGTTGTGCCTCCTCTCCTACTTGGAGAGTACCCATAAGGCTCCCTTGGTCACAAGGAATGAAACTGAGGTTACCTCTCATGGGAACAAGGGAACTTTTATCCAGTTCTTCTGACTGCCAATACCYAGTACCTGTCTTGGCAAGTTACTGTGATGCCCTATTCCACCTTCCTGGCTGTGTTTTATTTACCCCACTTCTAATAAATCAACACATTCCTGTGCATTGACATTGGTGGTTCTCATGGACTTATTAGATCTTAACAGAATCACTTAGGAAACTTTTTTAAAGCACTGAATCCTAGAACCTAAACCCAGATTTTTAAGTATTTAACTGATCTTTATTAATTCCTTAGGTAATTTGTGCAGGTATACCACGTCCATTTGAAGGGGAAAAACAGCTATTAGCAGCTCAGCTTCAAAATACTTGCTACCAGTTGGAAGGAAGCTAACAGGCACCCAGTATCCCCTGATCAGCCCAGGAAAAGGCCCTTGAGATTAGGTGTGGCAGAGGTTGCTATTCATCAAACCCCAGAGCTTGTCATGTCCCCCACAACTGCTGACATGAGGTGATAGATCTTGTAGCCCAGAAAACCAGTCTCACTTTAAATGCCCATTTCTGTGATCTTGCTTAAACAGCTAGGTCAAAATCAATACAAAGGTGGTTAGTTCAAGCTTTGTGCTATAAATGGCTGCAGCATTTCAGGATTCTTTAACTGAAATACAGCTGCACTGAGAAGTTATTTTAGCCATATGCAGTAGTCACCCACACCCAAATCTTTGAGAACCCAGTGTCCTTAATGAATATTTTAAAAGATTCCCCCAAATACTGAGCCTCCCTCCCCAAGGAAATGGACAGTTACCATATACCGGGAGGGGCTGGTAAGACATAAGAAGAGACGTGTGCTATTGCTGAATGGAGGACAATTGGTCAAGTCGCTGGTATCACTGAGACCCTATCAAGGCAACCAAAGGCTCTGCCGGGATGGACAGGAGTGGGCTGGYGGATGACACCTAGGGATTGTGCCTCTCCCTGGTGCTGCTGCTTCCCAAAGACCTGAATCAGTTAAATCTCTAAGCAGTTGCTGGGCAATTGGTCAATCTCAACTCTAAGGTACCTGGAGGTCAAGATTTTCCCCTTGTTAAGCTTACTGGCAGGGTAGCACAGAGGTAACAGGCTAAAATACCCAGATGCCACATGAGAAGTATGACCTYTGAGTCCCAAACAGCAAGTAACATGGACTATCCAAACCAAGAATTTAAAATAAGGTAATATATTTAGGGAAATCCTAGCAATGTGAAACAGGAACATGAACCAAGTGGAAACATTAAGTGTGAAAACATAGTGAATGGGTTGGGGGTGGCTCAGTGATAGAGCGCTTGCCTAGCACGTGAGACACTGGGTTCCAACCTCAGCACCATGTCAAAATAAAAAAAAAAAAAAGATATTGTACAACCAAAAAAAAAAAAAAAAAAAAAAATAATATCGTTAGGGAAATCCTAGCAATGTGAAACAGGAACATGAACCAAGTGGAAACATTAAGTGTGAAAACATAGTGAATGGGTTGGGGGTGGCTCAGTGATAGAGCGCTTGCCTAGCACGTGAGACACTGGGTTCCAACCTCAGCACCATGTCAAAATAAAAAAAAAAAAAAATATTGTACAACCAAAAAAAAAAAAAAAAAACAGCGAATGGGATAAAGAACAGATGAGAATCAAAAACAGTGAGCTGGAGCATAATCTGGTGAAAATATGGGGTCACATGGTCTCACACATATATGACAGTTTTAACTCGGTAATAAACACAAGTCTAAGGCATTTCTATGGAGAAGTGGTGGAGTCCAAGAGTGGGGCACTGAAGGGGTAAGAGGAACTAACAAATGCAAAAGAAAGAAACATATGTCAAGTCAGAAAGACAAGCCTACCAGAAGAGGAGCTTCTTTTGGCTAAATCTAAGACAATGAGTTATCAAAATAAATAATCAAAGCTCCAGATTATAACTTTAAAAAAAAATTTTAGTTGTAAATGGACACAATACCTTTATTTATTTTTATGTGGTGCTGAGGTTGGATCAGGGACTACCGCTGATCCACAACCCAAGTCCCCTGATTATAATTTTAAAAAACCTTTTTTTTTTTTTAGTTGTAGATGGACACAATTTATTTTTTATGTGGTACTGAGGATCAAACCCAGTAACTGACATACGCTAGGCAAGTGCCCTACCACTGAGCCACAACCCCAGGCCCACCAGATTATAACTTAATGAGTAAAATAGGAATCCATTATGTATATATGTACATATATGCCTACACGCATGTAATTGTGTGTGTGTAAGTATTTTTGTTTCTCCAGTACTAGGAACTGAACCCAGGGATACTCTAGTACTTGATCTACATCTCCAGCACTTTTTTTATTTTGAAACAGAGTCTTGCTAAGCTGTCCATGCTAGCCTGGAAGTTGTAATCTTCCTTTCTCAGCTTCCTGAGCCCCTGGGATTACAAGTTTGCCATTTAACCTAGTTTCAGTGTAATTTTTTTTAAAAAAGATCTACATTCTAGAGCAAAAATGATAGGGAAAACACCCTATCAGACAAATATTAATTAAGAGAAACTGCAAAAGCAATGAAAAAAAAAAGACTCAATAGGGGGTGGGGCGTGGGTGATTATCTACAGAAAAGAAAAAAAGAACAAGAAAAGGTAAAGAGGATGGATATTATTATCTCCAACACAGTCTGAAAATAAAACAAAATTGCAGGTAGGAAAAGGGAGAATGGACAACTTGATTTTTAAAAAAAAGGAAATGAGAAAACACTTATAACAGATTAATAGTATCATCCTGTCTGAACCTGGACACAGTCAAAGCATGCTGACACAGAAAAATTCAGAAGTGAAATCATTTTTTTTGGAAACAGAGATTAACCATGAAGGAAGCAATCACTTGATTCACTTTTTTTAAAGAATGAACAACACGAGGGAAAAAAACAAAACAAGAAAAACAGTGAGAAAGCCAGAAAAACATGATGAAATAATTTACACTGACAAAACCAAATGCTGGCACTTTCAAGACATGAAAACTTCAGTAGACTAATAAACATTATGTAAATAAAAAGGCAAAGACTTTCTTTGGGGGAATTAGAAAAAATTAAAAGGTTTAAGGTTTTCCAACACTTAAGAAATTTTATGTAAGTTCTTTCACCAAATGAAAAAAAAAAACAAAACAAAATAAAACCTGCCCAGATCTTTAACAGTGATTACAAAACCAATTAAGAATTCAAGAGAAAAAAAAAAAATTTACTCCTGACTGTGGGTGCAAAAGCACAATTATTAACTATCTAAACCTAACAGTATATATTTTTTAAAAAATCAAGGAGGGTTTAYTTATTAAAGGAATTCAAGAACGACTTCAACATTAGCATATTAATTCACATGCTTTAACAACAATAAAGGAGAAAAAGAACTATTATTATAATAGATGCTCTTCCAAAGCATTTGATAAATTCAATACTTATTAAAAAAGARAGACCCATAGCAAACCAGGAATAGTAGGGAATATCCTTAACTCAATAAAGTTATGTATCAAYTAGTGTGTATACATGTAGAGACACATATAAAATATGTCATGATCAATTAGGACTTAATCAAGGAACACAGGCTTAATATTAGAAAAATCCACTAACATAATTCACTGAATAAAAACTACGATCTTATAAAGAAAAAAGTGTTTGATAATGTTCACATTTTATCTGATGAGGGGTAGGGTGGAGATGTAGAAAGCAATCAGACTTAAATTGCTTTCCAGGTGGATATATAAGTCTGTATTTACTTTTGCCCTTTGTAGGGTTTTGTAATTTCCCTTTACCACAAACACATTGACATTATCCATTATTCTATTTTAGGCCAGTTTTTAGGGTATAAAATGACAGCTCAAAAAACTCCGGTAGAGCACTTGCCTAGCACATGCGAGGCCCACATAAAAATAAATAAAATAAAGGTATTGTGTTCAACTACAACTAAAAAATAAAAAWTTAAAAGCAGCAGCAACAACAACAAAAAACTCCAGCAAACTCTCCATTATGGAGTTTTGAGCGTCTCTTCATGAACTGTTAACCTTTTTAGACTTTATATTATAAACTATCATTATCCTTYGTTCGTTCAATATTCTTGGACTCAGTATATTTTTTGTATATGCTAGATATAAAACCACTGGTTGCTTCCAACATTGCAAGATCCTAAGTCTTTATCCTTTACTGAATAAGAATCTTTAATTTTGACATAATAAAATTAATCTTATTTTCCATATGTGGTTTGTGCTTTGGGGGATTGTTTGTTGATGCATCTAGATCACAATGATATTCTATATTTCCTAATATTTTTTWAATTTACATTCCACTTTTAGTCTTTAATCCATCCCACACTTTTGCATATGATGCCAGTAAGGAATTTTGTTTTACTTTCCATGTAAATGCTAGCTTTCCAACACCATCTACTAAAACTCAGGGAATTCTTGTGTATTACTATAATTATGTATTACTGTAACTAAGGTAATTTTATACTTTTACCTTTTGTTTCTACTGTGAATAGTTTCAATTATATTACCTAATAAGGTTACTGCTCTTATAGAAAAATGCTTGAAATGCTTATGAATCTATTTTCTATTTAATGAAGGTAACTTGAACTGTTTTAATAGCTTGTGGATTCTCCTTTTTTTGTCATAAACATCTAAAAAATGCTGATTTTAAAATAATGAGTTTTATTCCCCACCTTTCAATATTGATAATCTTTTTCATTTATTTTTTTCTTTCACTTATGATCAGAACTTCCCATTCTGTGAAGCAGTCATGGGACAGCGAGCATAGTGGATATATTAGGACACTGGTTTGGCTACTTTAATAGAGACCAAATAACAATGGCTTAAGTAAAATGAAAAGTTTCTTACGTGAAGGCCTGACCTCAGAGTCAGTTTAGGAGAGAAGTGGCTCTGCCCATGAGGTGAATGTGCTCCTGGTACACATCCCTTTCCTTTGTGGAAAAAAATTGGTCTGTTACAGCCATAGTCACATTCTAGCCTACAGAAAAGGGGAAACGCAAAACGACTACATGCATCTTCCTTTAAAGATGTGGCCTGGTAGTTGTAAACTCACTTCTGCTTCCATTCCACTGGTCAAAACTAAGTCCAGCAGTCAATGTTTATCATAAATTTCTTCCTTTTTTGCAATATAATTAAGTACATCAATGGATTTTTGAGATGCTGATCAATACTGATGTGCATACAAGCACATGAGTAAGTACTTTTATTACAATATTTATTACAATATTTAATTATGCTTAATATTTGATTTAAAATATGTAGAACTGATCATATAGAGTATTAAGTTTGCAGAATCCACAGTACTGAACTTAATGAAAGACTGCAATATGGGAACTAACGTTTAATTGAAGTCTTAGATTTTTTTTTATTTTAACATACAAATTGCATTACATACTGACATTTAAAAGCCTACCATGAACCAAGCAAAACCAAAGGAGTTGTTATTATTTACCCTATAAATGAGAAAACTGAGGCAGCACAAATTGTATACAATTTACCTAACATTGTATACAACCAGCAAGTGGAAAAAYTAGATTCCAAAAGCCTGTGATTGTTCCACTAAGTAACAATGCCTCACAATTAAAATTTTCTTCAATGATGGTAGTAACACAGTGTGATGGTAATACATGAAAAATATAGAGGAATTGGAGGTATTATTATTTCTCAATGCCTTTTCTAAAATTTTTTGTATATGCTAGATRTAAATCCACTGGTTGCTTTCAACATTGCAAGATCCTAAGTCTTTATCCTTTACTGAATAAGAATCTTTAATTTTGACATAATAAAATTAATCTTATTTTATTCAACTCAGCATTGTAAGGGAACTTTTTATTCACTAAAATAAAACTAAAAATCTGAATTTAATTGAAAACTGTGATTTCTTTATAAAAATTCATTTACTTTAGACTTTTTTGGGGGAAAACTCCCATTTTACAAAACTGGACTGTCACAAGGCAGATAGAAATGGTCTACATGCAATTTGGAGGCATAATTGTAGTTACAAGAATGCCATTAATTTTTCATTCTCATATTAAGTGTTTTTATGTTTACTTAGGAATGAATAGATTCCTAATTCTAATCTCGAAATTTCAAAATCACTGAAGGTGACTGACGAAAGTTTTGTACTCATCTAAAAAAAAAGAAAGAAAAAAAAGGCAGAAGTGAAATATATGCATACCTTATATTGTAGATGTTGGGGTTTTGAATACAGCCAATAAATAAACTAAAAAGTGGAAACAAGTCTTTTGATGGAAAAACATGCAACATTATTTGTGACCTAAATAAAACTCAAATAATTTCTGAAAATTGCTCTTTTTCTTGGTGGTTTTACTATCTGTTGAGTCACACCAATACAGTCAAATACAAAAATGTACTTAAAGTTGCTTGAAGACAAAGAAAAAGAATTCATCCGCCAAATACAAATATACTGTTTTATTCTAAGGGAATATTTCTGTGGTTTCTGCAAAGGGAAAACCCAAAAGTGATAAAAGGCAAAAGAACAGAAAGGATGCTTGAGATGTTTCTTTTTTTGTTTGATAGTTTTTTTTCTCTCCTGAGGGGAAAATGTAATCTTATACAATTTTAATAAAATAAGCAAAAAATTGGACATATCAACAGCTATGCTTATGAGCAATGACCAATGATTAATCATATTTTCTTTACGAATTAGTTCAGGGTTCTGAGTGACTCTGTACTAACATGCAGTTGAAATCCTGATACAGTCATTTATCTGGGTATTATTGGTTGTTTTCAGTTAAAAGATACAGATTTTTTCCTTTTGGGTATTACAATTTATCTACTATGTGCTAACAGTATTTGTTTTTCATACAACTACAGAGACAGGGAAAATGTTAGTGTTTATACAAACCATAAAATTCGTATAGTGGGACTATTACACCTGATGTTTCTGGATGGTTTTATTGGCAGACTTATCAGACAATCCAATTGTTTTCCTCCAGTCGAACAAGGTCTAGAAGTAGGAAGTTTTCCAGTCAGAAATGACACACACAGATGTAATTAATCATACAGAATCAGGGCAGATTTACTTCTTTCACACAGTTCTTAGTAACAAAAGTGAGATTTGTTACAGGCAGGGGGATAGAACCATCAAGTACACAATGTCAAAAGGCCCACTTTTAATTCTGTTAAATGACTTTCATTTATTAAAAAAAATACACCTGCCATCCCCACCTAAAATATGGGACATACTGAAAAGGATTTCAAGATTAAACTTTCTAAGAAGATTTTTTTGACTTCTCTCAGTTTTATCATAAGGTCAAATAAACCTTGGCTAAAGATGTTCTATTGACTGGCCATAATCATAAAAGCTTTGATTTCAAAATTTTGTACCAAAGAACTGAGAATTGTGATGAGGGACATAGACCGATATGGCCACACACGCCTATGACTTGCAATCCTCATAGAACTACTAAAACAGCTAGAGTTTGGAATAATGCTATAAGAAGACAGTCAATGTCTGAATCCTAACCCCAGAATCCCTATTTTCAAGTTTCCTAGGGCAACAAGGTCATCTTTTAAATGCTTTACACAAGAAYCTACCGAGACCTTTTCTACCATAATTCGGATAGCTAAGTAATACTGTGTCTCTGGAACTGCCCATGGGTTTGCCAGACAAAGTTCAGGAGAGAGACTATACTTTTTGAAATGACAAGGGCCTCCAAAAACTGATGCAAAAGACAAAAAAAGAGGAATCATTTGGGAAATAGGAAGGTAAAACAATGGAAGAAAAGCTGCCACTGGGGGAAAAACAAAAACAAATGGAGAGCCCCATTTCTGTGTACCACAGCTCAAGCTATGAGACAGCAGCAATAAAGGCCTGCACCCAGAGAAGTGGGCATTTTAGTGGGTTCTTTACAAACATTTCAAGACACTTGGGGTCTAATGGGCTCCACAGATCTTCTGTGTGCATAATTAGTTTGTGGAATATCATCCCCTTTACCTTCATTTACCCACCTTGAGACCCATAGATGAGAAAGCTAAACCCAGAAGGTGAAAGGGACACATCACTATTAATAGGAGTGAAGGTCATTTTCCCTGATATGAGGGGCCCCTGGTAAAAGCATCAGAGGCTTCTATCCTTCACATAATTGGCTTGGCAGTGAAAATCAAAATCAAGACCACTTCACTAACTTGGAAAAAAAGTTGTGTATTTTTATTGGGTCTTCAGGTCTGGGTCCCCCAGTCCCATCTGATGTCACTCTCAGCTTTGTATTGAATTCTCCCCTGACTTTACCAAGGTCTTGCCCAAGTAGCCAAGGTCTCACTCCAAAGCTACCTCTCTAAGGTCTAAGGTTACTATGGTAGAGTTTTATACAACAGTTTTCCTTAAAAATATTCCACAATTTTGTTATTCCCAAACAAAATAAGATTATGCACCACTCAGAGAAATTGGTTAGTCATTCTGAAGATGTCTAAGAACTATATCACTGCCAAAGAACATTTCTCGGTTCAAATTCTTTCCTTCAGTTTTCATTTGTACATCCACACTGTGGATCATCTGTTTCCCATGTCTCATAATTGAGTCAAGAGGACTTGGGCTTAAACATTGCTTTCCAACAGCTAGATGCGTTCACAGTTTGGTGCATACCAATGTGTATGAAAATAGGAACCTCACTTCCATCTTAATCTGATAGTTCAACATCAGAGTCTTCAGATTTGGCTTTGGCAAGTTCTTCATGTACCTCCCTCACCATGAGAATACGTGTTAACATGGTGTCCAGGGTACCAGGGTCTATTGGGAATGTGGAGTACCACATGGGACTATTCGGAACACAGGAGCGCTCAGGCTGAAGGTAAAACACATCATTCCTCTGCTTCACACTTTCAGAACTATTCACAGAGGGGGAAAAAAAAACAAAGAAAATTAAAGATTAGAGTTCAAGAAATATGAACTATTCTTTAATATAACTTTTCCCCACTGTGACTCATATCATAAATAACAACTATCCAGAGGAATAAGAAGGTTTATAAGCATCTTCCTGCCAGAAGTAATCTGTAACTTCACGTCTTTTCTTGAACACTCAAGAAGTCTCACCAATTGGATGTTGAGTACATAAGACAAAATGTAAATCACAAACTTGAGTCCTTAAGACATTGTTAGAAGCAACACAAGTCAACTCATATGTAACATTACAGCTGAGAATCACACATCCTAAGTGCCCAGTATCCTAAAATGAAACCCAAGGATACTTAATATCATAAGTCAAACAACAATTATTGTTTCTTTGAGAAAAAGTGCCTTAGTGTGGTTTATAATCATAAGGTTTCTCTAAAACAAAGGGCCAAAAAAATATCTCAATTCCTTAAATATCATCTTTGTATTTGTAGGTTTAATAAAAGAAGCTCTCCTTAGAATTTCTTTCCTACATTAATAATAAATTACTATAGATTAGATATCCCACAAAGGTTGGGCAACACTTGTGAAGATCAAGTAACAGCAGTGATTCTTTTCAAGATTTTTTTTGGGGAAAAACATCAAAATAAGGTGGTTTCTTTTTTGGTTCAAAATTATAACTATAAACTCTAGAATGGAGGGGGGGAAAAACTGAGAGGTTAAATCTCCCCGCTTAAGGTTATAGGCCAGCTACATTTCTGATGTTCAAACATCTGAAATCCACACTGTCATCCGGGTTCTGAAGTGCGCTGTATGCAGTGCAGAGGAAGATCACTTACCATTTTGACAGGTAAAACTCATAAAGTCGGACTGGGCATCTTAGTGGGTTATCAGTATTCTCTGCCATCTCTACGCCCACTGGGACCTCATCATCTTCATTTCGTTTCCTCTTGCCAACAGTTAGTTTATCTTGAGACAGAAAATAATAATCAAAAGATTACATTAGAAAAGTCTATTTTTCAAGACTCAATACATCCAATGAGCTATGCTTCATAGTCAGAACTTTGCTATTCCTTCCCTTTCACTCGTTCATTCAACAAGRTTTATTCAGCTCCCATGGAAGTTCCAGGCATTATCTGAAGGGCAGGGTTTATAGCATTAAAACAAACAAAGTGCCTGTCTTGGGACAGTTAGGGTTCTCTAATTCACCAAAGTGGAGGCACTATGGGAAAAAAAGCTTGGTGCTGGAAGATAAGTCTCTATTCTGAGCCTGGCTTATTAAAAAACTTGACTATGCGGGGCTGGAGTTGTAGCTCAGTGGTAGAGTACTGGCCTCATAWGTGAAAGGCAATGGGTTCGATCCTCAGCACCACATAAAAATAAATAAAATAAAGGTATTGTGTCCATCTACAACTAAAAATATTAACAAAACAAAACAAAACTTGACTATGTGCAGGGCTCCTAACCATAGCAAGACAGGCAGAAAAAAGGGGTTCCATGTGCTCTTCTTTTTTATTTTTTTTGGCAAAGCCATGTGCTCTTCTATTACAGTAATAAACCTAGATAGAGACTGACATTCCTTTATCTGAAAATATTTCTACTGTGGGGCACACCAGTGCCTAGTGGGGCACTTGTTCAAATTGCTTTTATTCTAGTATTGTGAAAAAAATGGCACTGTTCTTAGGAAAAGAAATTCTCAGTTATCATTGGATACAAAAAGAACAAATCTTTTCTCACCAATATGATTCTCCAGAGGCCAAAGGTTACTACAAAGATACTAGGATGAAGGCATGCAAAGTAAGCTGTTTCTTTCCCACTTTTCCTTTCAACTTTCAAGAGAACAGTAGGTAGACCTGAGAACCCAATAAAAAAGGTTTTCTTCTTCTAAAGCTGCTCTTAACCACTTGGTTTGGGACTTTACTCAGCTTCTTGTACTATTACTTCAAGAAAAATCAACCATTTTCTACTTACAGGTTGCCTACATAGGGAGACTTCAGTATTTAGAAAACAAGTTGTATTTATTATCAACCTTGTCAAATACCTACTCAGAAAGTGAAAATATTACCTTACTGCCTCTCCCCTCTTCCAACTAGTATCAATTAAAAACACAAAGCAGGTTACATATAAACAAAACTAAGGAAACAGGATGTTCACATTAGGAGAGAGAGAGTATAGTGAAGGAGCAAATGAAAAAAGTCCGTACAAAATTGTATGCCACAATTATTTATAAATTTCAGTTTCAGAAATTTTAAATTTTTACATTCAAAACATACATTTCACTCTTAGAAGTGTAATTCAATTTGGGGCATTTCAGAAGTTTTATTCTGGTCAAAACTAATAAATTTAATTTCTAGTTCTATAATATAATATTTAATATTTTTTAAATATTAAAATAACTTATTTAACAGGGTGTCAACAAAAGATCATAAACTGTCTAATAAAACTGTTCCTGCTAGCCAGGCACAGTGGCACACACCTGTAATCCCAGAGGCTCTGGAGACTAAAGCAGGAGGATTGTGAGTTCAAAGCCAGCCTAATCAAAAGGGAAGTGCTAAGCAACTCAGTCAAACCCTGTCTCTAAATAAAATACTTAACAGAGTTGGGGAGGTGGCTCAGTGGTGGAGTGCCCCTGAGTTCAATTCCCAATACCCACCCCTGCCCCCCAAAACACAACCCTGCACCTGCTGACTTTAGTCTATTGTGGATAAAAGCAGTGTGTATAGGCCAACTTTTAAAATTCTGTCAGAATTTCAGTGTTAATTAAAAAAAGGCACTGTGGTCAAAAAAAGATTTAGAAACAACAAGTTAAAAATTAAGGAGTCTTTTAATGAGGCGTCTTTTAACTAGCAAAAATTGACTTATTTGATACCTGTACATCAGTGATTCTCTATTCTAGTTGTATATGTAAATTCCCTGAGAAATTTTTAAATGTAGATTACTTGGGCTCTACTCAATTAAACCAGTATTTCTAATTTAAAAGCCAATAAAAATATACTGAAGCAAGTGATTCCTTATATTTTAAAGTAAGTCTTTAAGTTTCCCTCATGACAGAGAAAAACATTGAAATGTTAAAAAGAAAGCTAYATTACACTCTCCTGTGTGTGTAACTTACCATCACCCCCCTGCGATAACTGTTTTAGTAATATGAGACTTCAAACAGAAGCCTCAGACACCACCACACACCTGGCTCTGACTCTTGCTTCTGTAAAGGTGGGAAGAACCTCAGATATGTCATCTTGGTACTGTACTTCAGAGTCCTGGTCCGCCTCATCACATGGGCAAAGGAAAGCTTCAAGTGCTCAGTAACATTCTTTAGTTGAAAGTATTTGGTATTAAAAAAAAGGAGGGTGTTTAAGAGGACGATTGGTGAGTAAGCGCCCAGCTGTTTGCACTCCCACAAATGCTCTTCTTCGATGCGAGAGAACATGTAACCTAGACAGAGGGGGAAGAAACAGTACTGAGCACCTGCTACATAGCACTACATAAACTCTCAAATTCTAGGACAGGAAGGTATGAAGGGAAAGACAGACTGCTCCTCTCTTTCCCCGTCTTCTTTATGTAGAAAAAAAGAAGACACACTATAAAGAAAAGGGAAGAGGGGCCAGGGGAATATTAAGTGGTAGAGTGCTTGCCTAGCAAGGGCGAGGCCCTGGGTTCAACTCCCAGAACTACCAAAGTGGTGGGGGGCAGGGGGGATTCCATCAAAGTAGACACTGACACTCCCCAGAAAATTATTCTAGCCTATTATTTTATCAGAGGGTAGGGCAATCTTCCCTGTGAAGGTTCAGAGACTATAAATATTTTACGTTTGTGGGCCAGATAAGCTTTCAACATTTTTGCATCTTTGTCATTGTAAAAAATAAGAAGCCACAGATAATATATAAAACAAAAAGATGTGACTTCATGCCAGGGAAAATGTATTCATAGTCAAATTTGAAATTTCATACAATTTTGATTATATAAAATATTAATTCCTTAAACTTTTCTCCAACCATTAAAAAAAAAAAACTATTTATATTTGTAGCTCATTAACTACAAAAACAGGAATAATCCAGATTTGGCCCCTTGTAAGTTTTACCAACTCCTGTTGAGATCACTAAACTTATTGCCAGCTGGCTCAGTCTTATTTAGACAATATTTGAAGGCAGATGACCTCCTCTCTGCCACCCCTCTCAATTTTATATTAAGAGTGGTTACATCCTAATGACTTAGCTAGTATTCATCTTGAAAGGTAGAGGTCTTAAATAAGATTTTTTTATATACCCATATGGCCCCTTAAATTCAGGTTTTTCTTAATGTTTTCAATCCTCTTTGTTGCTATTTCTGCACTCCATTCTTGGGAGATTTTCCACAAAAATAACTACATTATTTCCAAATTCCTAGCCCCCTCCCTGAATGCATCAAATCACCATGTTGCTCCGAATGTCTCAATGGTGCTCAGCAGTCAACCAACAGGGACATGTATTTCTGAGAATACCGAATGCTCTCTATTCTGTCAAGGCGCCTGAGATGAAGAGTGAATTATGAACTTCTCAGATAACATAAAGTCAAAGACAATTCGAGGAGGGGACTGTAACTCTCTTAACCGAGTTCTGTGTAGACACAAATGACTGAAAAGATCCAATGTTAACAGGCAGAACATGTGTGAACTATGGATCAAATGTGTGGCTTCACTGATAATATCACATAAAAAAAGAATTTTTAAAAAAGTAAATGAAATCTCAGTTTAGTTTTCATTTTGAGCAATAGTATCCATACATGCATTGAGAGAAAGTTACAATTTTACTAAAATATTCCAAGAATAAATCAAAGATTTTCTTCTCAAAAGCTCCAATATTCTATGTCAGGATATATAAAACAATTTTACAAAAAGATAATCACAAAATGTAAGCTATTTTAAAAAGTATATCATGAAAACAAGGAAAATAAAAAAATCATCCTACCATTAGGAAGAATTGTAGGTTCCCATATTTTCAAGAGTTTGGTGAGTTCAATCATAAATCTTGAATAGGGTTCAGTAAAAATGTTATCTATTCTACCATTTTCAAACAGGTACTAAAAGAAAAAAGACATACACATATTGATAAAGAAAAAACACAAGATTAAAAATATTATTTTAAGGAAAATAGTTTTCCCTTAATTTTTATTCTTATAATAATGTAAATGATGTTTTTAATGATTCATTCTGAAATGCCAGAAATTCAAGTTAAAGGTCTCTTTCATGCTCGACACTGAGGTAAAGTTTTTGTTTTCTTTTTAAAATATAAAATTATTATAAATAATAAACATTTAGTCAGTTCATGACACTGATAAAACAAAAACTGGTTCTAATGCATACTTCCCAAATCATGTTTTTCTTATAATGTGTATCTGCACACATGCTCTCAAAAATTTCTTGTTTTTCACTCTAACTACAAGATTGTTTCCTAAAATAATACAGTTAGCTAATATCAGGTGACCCAAAGAAACCCAAGTAAAAAAACTATTTAGCGCCTTCTAGCCACAGCTCTCAGCTCTCTGTTCCACAACCAAGCCCTCAAAAAAGTTCAAGTTTAATTACAGGACATTAAACTATGCTASTTGTAACCATCAACAGCTATATCACAGGATATAAAATAGGGGACAGCTTGAAGAAAATACTGTTTAAAAATGAATTTTCAGATAAAATTAACTTTTAAGTCAAAATTACAGAACAATACAAGGCAGCACCTTTAGCATGTAATTATAATGCTATGTTATATAATTATAAATAGTATATACATATATCATATAACTATGGTATTTTGAATTTATCCATGGTTAAACATGGTTTCAAATCTGCATTTCTATCTATGTATGATCTGGAGAAGTTGTTGATAGACCTTTATTTTTATGTGGTGCTGAGGATTGACCCTAATGCTTCACACATGCTAGGCAAGCGCTCTACCACTATGCCACAACCCCAGCCCTTCAATGTGCATTTTTATGAAGCCACTACAAAGGAAATTTATGATCTTACTGCCAGATATTATATTTTTATTTATTTATATTTTGGTGGTTGGGGGATGGTGGTAACCAGGGATTGAACCCAGGTAACTCAACCTCTGAGACATATCCCCAGTCCTTTTTTGTATTTTATTTAGAGACAGGGTCTCAYTGAGTGCTTAGCACCTCCATGTTGCTGAGGATTGTAATCCTCCTGCCTCAGCCTCCGGAACCACTGGGATTAAAGGCATGTGCYACTATGCCTGACCACATTATAGTTTTGTTGTTGGACAATATTTGGTTTTCCTTTTTAATAAAGTCAATTTCCCAACTTAAAATATTTTATCATCATTTTGGAAAAAGTTTAAAATACAGAAAAAGTRGAAGAGAAGACTAAGCTCAGTTTACAAAGCCAACTATTAATATGCAGGGATATTTTAATCTTTAAAAAATTCCATTATAAATAGAGTTAAGGTTTATATACTTATACAAATACATCAGTACATATAATTTTTTTTTTCTGTACCAGGGGTTGAACCCAGAGCTTTGTGCATGCAAGGCAATCACATTTCCAGATCTTGTAATTTTTTGATACAGAGTCTCATTGAGTCATTTAGGCTGGCCTGGAGCTTGCAATTCTCCTGCCTCAGCCTCCTGAGTTACCAGAATTATAGGCGTGTGGCACTGCACCCAAGTTTAAAATACACACAAACATACACATACACACACACAAACCAAAAAAAACCCCACCTCATCCCACTTAGATCAGGAATGAGAAAAAAAAAAAAAAAGTTCTTGCTGCTTTTGTTTAACATTGTCCTGGAAGTCCTATGTAGAGCAACCATGTGTGAGATAGGAAAGGAAGAAATAAATATCTCTATTTGCAGATGACAAGAACCTATCTATAAGGAATCTCAAGAATCCACACACACACACACACACACACACACACACAAACTAGTTATTAGAGCTTATAAGTGAATTCAGCAAAGGTGCAGGAACAAGCAAGACACTCCCTCACCAAAAAAAATCGATTTTATTTCTATAAACTAACAATGAACAATACAATTAAAGTAAATTAAGAAAACAGGCCTATTTAAAGTAACAACAAAAAGAGAATAAAATACTTTAAAAATGTAAGGAGATAAAAGACTTATACATAACAAAAGGTGCTGAAAGTAAAAATTAAAGACCTAAGTAAATGAAAAGATCCTGTCTTCATAGATTACAAGACTTAATATTGTTAAGACAGCAATGTTCTCCAAAGCAATGGACAGATTCAATGCTACTGTATCAAAATTCTAGTGGCCTCTGTTTTTTTGTAGAAAAGGAAAAATCAATCCTAAAATTTATATGGAATTTCAATAGACCTTTGAACACACAAAAGAATATTGAGGAATCTCACCTTCTGGTTTTAAAACTTAATACAAAGCGCAGTACTCAACAGTGTGTACTGCCATAAAAACAATCATATCAACCAATGGATTAGAATTGAGGGTCCAAAATAAACATAGACATGTAGGGAGGCAGGCAGACAGGCACGCACACGCGCACACACACACACACACACACACACACACACACACACACACGAGCATGCACACGCACACGCACACACACACACACACACACACACACACACATACACACTTGGCCAAATGATTTCCTACAGTAGGGGTTTCAAGACAATTCAATGTATAAAGAGTAGCCTTATTAGAGTAATGAGCTAGGAGACATGGATATCTACATATAAAGGACAGTAGATCCTACCTCACATCAGATATAAAAGTTAACTCAAAATGGACCAATGATGTACATATAAGATCTAAAACTGTACAACTCTTAGAATATAAATGTTCATGACTTTGATTTGGCACAGATGACAACAAAACAGCAAACTCTTCACCCCCGMCSCCMAAAAARRAAWTYMAMYTWAATCAAAATTTAAAAATTTTGATTCAGGGAACACTAACAAGACAATGAAAAATAAAACCCAGAAAACAGGATAAAATGTTTTCAAATCACTATCTGCAAGAGTTTAATACCCAGAATATACAAATGATTCCTATTACTCATGAATAAAATTTTTTAAATAGGCAAAACTTCTTAGACATGTTTCCAAAGACATAAAAATGTCCATTAAGTACATGAAAACATGCTTAATATCCTTAGGGAAAAGCAATTCAAAACCATGATGAGATATCACTTATCCACCAGAAACATTATTTAAAAAWGGGGTTGCAGTGGGGATGTACTACAGTGATAAAACAATTGCCTAGACAAACTGTGTAAAGCCCTAGGAATGAACTTCAGCATGAGGTGGATGGGGGTGTATGGTTATTAGCAAGTATTAACAAGGATGCAGAAATATTAGAGTCCTCATATACTGTTGCTAGGAGTATAAAATAGAAAAGTTAATCATAGATACCATATGACCCAGCAATCCTACTCCCGGCCATATACAAAACAGATGTCAAGTAAAAACTTGCAAATGAATGATCATGATCACCAAAGAAGTTAACAACTCAAATGTCCATAAATGGATAAACAAAATGTGGCACATCCATGCAATGGTGTACTATTCAGCATAAAGAGGAATTATGTTACAATATGAATAAACCTTGAAAATATTATGGTAAGGGAAAGACAGACATTAAAGGCTACATTATGCAAACATAGATATAAAATACCCAAAAGAAGCAAATATACAGAGACAGAAAACAGACTCTGACGCTAAATGGGTATGGAGTTYCCATTTCAGATGATAAAAAAGTTATGAAACTAGATAGAAGTGATTATTGCACCCACTAAATTTCACAATTTAAAGTGGTAAATCTTTAATGATACATCTATTTTCCCATGATTTGTAAACAAATAAATGCCATATACATATAATTTTTGCAAGTTACTTTTTAACATATATGTCTCTTAGAATTCCCTGTGTCAGGACATATAGAAGCAAGTCATTTCTTTTTAACTATTGTACAGTATTCCACAATATGGACATATTAAAGTTGATTGAATTATAACTCTTGATTAATACTTGGGGGGTTTCTAACTTATTACTGTTTAAAAAATATTACAATAAAAATTAAAGAATATGTCTACATATGTATGTGTATTCCTCTGGAGACATATACTGATCAATAGATTTGCTAGGACAGAGTCTACATGCATTTAACATTTTAAATGCCACTGTTAACCTGCTTTCTGAAAAGATCAACAACAGTGTAGGTAAGTTATTTAATCTTCATATGCCTCAAGTTCATCAATGGAAAATGTGGTGAAACTTGCTATACTTAAGGGATCATTCAAATAATAATAATTACATGAGTTTATGTATGAGTTATACAATGARTTTACCTTAATGCACAGTTTATTAGTAATGATCATTAGGTGTTACCTGGTACATGTTGTCTATTAAGCCTTCTCCCCACTGTTCTTGCCTATCCTATCTTTGACAGTTTTCTCTATATTATTGTATGTTTTATTATTGTATATTTTATATATTATTGTACATTTCATAAGGGTGTTTTTCATATCTATTGGCTAATAATTCTTGGTTATATACGATAATACCATGAGCTAAGAAAGCACTCTCAATTTGTATGAAAATGTGGAAAACAGACCCAAAACAGATGGTTAACAGAAATATTAACTGAAAAAACATAAAATAGCAAAAACATAAAATAAAAAGTTTATATCTTTGCCCCAGAAATTCAACTTTCAAGAATTTACCCTAAAGAAATAATTAAGCCATGTATAAACATATATACAAAATGAAATTCAACAAAGCATCACATAACAGGAAAAAAAATCTCATCAATTAAACATTATCAATGTATGTATCACAAACCTGATAAAAAGCTGATTATGATATACCATTAATTTTAAAAATAGGTGATAGAAACAAGGAAGAATAATTTTGTTGTTTAAACATTTTTCTTCATTGTCATCTTTTCCATCTAATGTTAAAAGTGATGGCCAAAGACTTGATTCTAAGTTGCGTTCAATTTCTTTTTATATATTTTCTGTCTTCAAATTTTCTTGGAACTACCATTATTATTATTATTACTACCATGGACTCAACATAGGGTGCTTTACCACTGAGCCACATCCCAAGCCCTTGTAAATTTTTATTATTTATTTATTTATTTTGTACCAGTGATTGAACCCGGGGGTACTTAACCACATCCCCCAGCCCTTTTTTATATTTTATTTAGAGACAGGGTCTCACCAAGTTGCTTAGGGTCTTACTAAGTTGTCTTGCAAATCAATTTACAGGTGAGCGCCACTGTGCCCAGATATTTTTTTTTTAATTTTTGAGTCAGAGTATAACTAAATTGCTTATGGACTCTCTAAATTGCTGAGGCTGGCTTTGCTTTTTTTWAAGTATTGATGGCCCTTTAATTAATTCATTAATTTTCAGTGCTGAGAATTGAACCCAGTGCCTCTCACATGCTAGGCAATCACTCAAACCCCAGWCCCTGGGGGCTGGGGATGTGGCTCAAGCAGTAGTGCGCTCGCCGGGCATGCGTGCGGCCCGGGTTCGATCCTCAGCACCACCTACAAACAAAGATGTTGTGTACGCCAAAAACTAAAAAATAAATATTAAAAAATTCTCTCTCTCTCTCTCTCTTAAAAAACAAAAAAACAAAAAACCCCCAGTCCCTAAAGCTGGCTTTAAACTTGCAATCCTCCTGCCTCAGCCTCCCTCTTTGGTGGGATTACAGGCATGTACAACCATGCCTAACTACCATAATTATTTTTAGAAAAAAGAGAGCAATCTGAGATATCAACATAAGTAACCTTTTAAAACTTTTAAAACATTGTTAAACTTATTTTTGTTTTTAAAAATTGATTTTAAATATTTTATGAAATTGATTTAAAAATATTTACTGCCTCTGATCATTTATTTGTTAAAGTATGGGCATTTTAATAGTATTGTTATATAAAGTCATTTATTAACATAAATAGAATGAATACTCAAGAAAAAAAATCTTTCACAGGTTTATAATTGGCTTCACAAAATATATCTTATAGACAGCAAAATACCTGACATAATGTACTCAAGTATATTGATTGAAATCCCGCAATAAACATGTTTTGAATATAATTAAACCATTAGAATATTAATAATGAAAAGAACTAAAAATGAAAGAAACTAAAAATTCTCTACTTTATTTAAATTTTTCTTTCTTTTTTTAGAGTTCAGAGAACTAAATCAAAAGAGAATGGGAACTTTTAAACAAACATGCCACTTCAATTCTGTGGGAAAATAAATGCTATCTGCATAACCAGGCTACCCTTCAGGAACAAGGTCCATCAGAAATATCCTTATATCACATAAAAGAATGAATTTTAGATGGTTTAAAGATATTAATCTTTTTTAAAAAAACAATTATTTGAGAAGTTAACATTTTCTATTTTAAGTAAAAAGACCATACTAAGAAACAGAGGAAACCCAGGAAACATTATAAGAAAATAAATACATATCAGCTACTTAAAAAGGAATACTTTTAAAAAAAATGTTTTTAGTTGTTGACAGACCTTTTTTAAAAATGTACTTATATGAGGTGCTGACAATCGAACCCAGTGTTTCACATATGCCAGCCAAGTGCATTACCGCTGAGCCACAGCCCCAGTACCAWAAAGGAATACTTTTGAATGATAAAATAGAACACAAAAATTAAAGACAAAAGTATATTAGAGGGTTGGGACTGAGCATTTGCCTGGCATGTATGAGGCACTGGGTTCGATTCTCAGCACTGCATATAAATAAMTAAAATAAAGTTTCTATCAACAACTAAAAAAAATTTAAAAATATATTTCAAACAGTTATTTTACAATTAATATCCTCAATTTACAACATAGCCTACAAATACAAAGGAAAAATCCAAAATGACTACCCCCAAAAGACATACTGCTTTACAAAAATTAGAAAAATGCACACTAAAACTACAAGATGACATTTTTCATTTTAYTCATTAGAATAATAAAAATTWAAAAAGAGGAATACTAAAGATTCATGAATTTCGCACGTATACACATTGGTATGATTTTTAATCACTATAAATAATCTGAAAATATATTAATAGTGGTAAATTAAATGCTTTATATGCATATATGCTTTGACCTAGAAATAAATATATCAGTTCAAAAGATATGTAAACAAAATATTTACTGAAGTGTTGCTTTGACAAGTAAAGATGTAGAGAAAAGGGAATCTTGTACACTGCTGGCTGGTAGAAATGTAAGCTGGTATAGCCATTAGGGAAAAATGTTTGGAGAGTCTTTGAAAAACTAACAATAGAAATACTAAAGGATCCAGCAATTTTGCTTCCAGGAATTTAGTCAAAAAATCTAACATCAGTTTACCAATGAGATGTTTACACTTCCTGTGTACACTGCATCACTACACACAACAGTGAAATTATGGAGTGACAGATGGCATGGATAAAAAAAAAAATGTGGTACCTATATACACAATGGAATACTATTCAGTCTTTTAAAAGAAGGAAATTCTATTATTTATGATAGACAACAGAAATAGAATTGGAGAATATTATGCTGAGATATGCCAGGCAGAGAAAGACAAATGCCAAATGTTCTTACATATATGTCGCATCTACAACAACTCAAAACTGAACTAAGTTGCAGGTAGGAGCAAGAAGTTCTGGTATGCTATTCACAGTATGATGACGGTAGATAATAATTAACTGTGTACTTCATTTTTTTTTTTTTATTGGTTGTTCAAAACAATTAACTGTGTACTTCAAAAAGCTAGAAGAAAGGGCTGGGGATGTGGCTCAAGAGGTAGCGCACTCGCCTGGCATGCGTGCGGCCTGGGTTCGATCCTCAGCACCACATGCAAACAAAGATGTTGTGTCCGCCGAAAACTAAAAAATAAATATAATTCTCTCTCTTTCAAAAAAAAAAAAAAAAAAAAAAGCTAGAAGAAAAGATTTTGAAAGTTTTGATGGTTTGAATGGAAATAAGTAATAGATCTTTGAGGAGATAAATATATTTAACCTCAATTAAACATTACATAATGTATATTACACCTGTATAAAAACATAGTACCCTGTTAGAAGGTACAGTTTTTGAAGTTTTCTTTTTCCTTTTTGGTATTTGGGATTGGACCAGGGCACTTCACAACTGAGTTAGATCTTGAGTCCTTTTTAAAAATTTGGAGACAGGGTCTCACTAAGTTGCTGAGGGTCTTGCTAAATTGCTGAGGTTGGCCTCAAACTTGAGATCTTACTGACTCAATCTCCTAAATTGCTGGGATTACAGGTAACTACCATACCACTACTGAATATGTACAATTTTTGTGTCAGTTAAAAAATAAATTCAAGGATGAAGCTGTTGCTCAGTGGTAGAGTGCTTGCTTAATACACATGAGGCCCTGAGTCAATTCCTAGCACTGCAGAAAGAAAAAACAAAAACAAAAAATAGAAAAAATAAATTTAAAAGAACAAATATTTTTAAAAGGAACATACTACTTCATGAAGATAATTTACTTAACCACGCTGGTGGGCATTGTGGTTATGTCTTTTTTGGGGGGCAATGATGTGTGAACTTGAGAATATGAGTTTTGAAGAGACTTGCAAAAACTGACTTACAAGCAAAAAATTTAAAAATATTTCCAGAAWACATTCAAACTATTTTCTAAAAAGCCTGTACTAATTGCTTCCAACTACACAGGACCTCCATATCACAGCACAAGTGCTGTTATCTTTTGATCTTTATTGATGTGATAAACAATGAAGTATCTATTACATTTAATTTGCATTTAAAAAATTTACACCAAACTATTCTGCAAGCTGTATACGGGGTAAAATGGGAGTTCATAACCCGCTTGAATCAAAATGTGAAATATGATATATCAAGAACTATGTAATATTTTGAACAACCAACAATAATAATAAAAAAAAAACTACATGATCAATACACACAAAACACATAGTCGTCTATGCTTCTTTAGGMAATTGCTATTTAAGCCCTTTTTGTTCATTTACCTATGAATGCACTTTCCCCAATATCTGTTATCCTACTGTTTTAATTTAGCTTATAAAAGGCCACTACATGAATAAGACTTTTAAATCAGAGAGTGGTTCATTAATAAAGAACATAAGAGCAGTATTAGATAACCAGTATATATTATAATTCTTTGACTTAATTCACAGTTCTTTTAGAATTATTAAAAATGCAATTAATTTCATAACAGCCACTTAATATGATACCTGCTGAATTCCAAGGCACAAGTATAAGATACTGTCTGGATCATACTTTTCACCATTTGGTCTCCGCACCTCTTGGATAAACTGGCATAAGCCCAAACTCAATTCAGCAAAAGTGCAGGACAGAATATCTTCCTTTAGCTTTCCAGAGCGGACTGTGGAAAGGTAGAAAACATCTGAAACATTAACTTACAACAAACACAGTAATATTACTTGATTCACTGAAATAAACCCTGAGTACTATGGTGCTTAGGCATTGTGGTATAGACTATGGATTAAAAACACATCCTGATCTCAACACTTTCAGTTAGAGAAATAAAGACAATGTAGTACATATACTGCTAATATAAAGATTTTGTTTGCACAGGATTCTGTGAAAGCAAATGAGAAACATCTAATAGGGAAGAGTCAGATTAGATTCTGGAGGAAGTAACACAGGCAACACCTTAAAAAGTGAAGAGTTTAAAAGGTGAATAGGTAAAAATTCCAATGTGAGGATACAAAAAGATATSCCAACATATATTCTATAGAACTCTAGTTCTATGTGAACTTCCTCTGAAGAATTCCCAGTGCCTACTGGCACATTAAAGACTAAAAATATTTATAAAAAAGAATGTTGCTGAACTTTCTTTAACTCCAATTTGACTACAGAATATCACAAATACAGTAAAACATCTTCATGCCTTTAGAAATGATAGAACACAGTATTCTTACATCCGCTGGGCCAAAAAGGTGCAAAGATTCAGGGAATTTAGGTGTATAGAAGAGAAGCAAGAAGGGCAAGTTAGGGCAGATCACGATGAGTYTCATGTATTGTATTAAGATGTTTGAAGAAAACCATTTTGGGTAGGGAAGTTACCAATTTGATTTGTATAAGTTCTATTGAAACAGGTTGATCCATGTTGTGAGGTTAGTACTAAAAAACACTCTTTCTAGTTCTTGCTCTTCTGCATTTAGCCAAGACTACACATTTTCAAAGATACACTTGGGTCTCTCCTGTGTGGTGTTTTTTTTTTGTTTGTTTTTGTTTTTTTGGTACTGGGTATTGAWCTCAGGGGCACTTGACCACTAAGCCACATCCCCAGGCCAATTTTGTATTTTATTTAGAGACAGGGTCTCACTGAGTTGCTTAGCGCCTTGCCATTGCTAAGGCTGGCTTTGAACTTGAGATTCTCCTGCCTCAGCCTTCTAGGCTACTGGAATTACAGGCATACACCACCATGCCTGGCTCCTGTGTTGGTTTTGCACAGGCAAGCAGAGGTTCATAAGGGCAAGGACTAAGCTTGATCTTTTTACCCCAGATCATAGCAATGAAGCCTGGTACATAATAAAAATTCAACGAGTATTTTACAGGTGATTCAGTAGTAGAAATGGGTAGGCATGTCYTATGGCTACTGCATTTAGGTCTTGTAGTCTAAAACAATATTACCTCTCCACTCTCACTATCACCCTTTCTTTCTTTCTTGAGATGAGGTTCCCCCTTGTTGCGCAGGTTGGTCTCAAATTTGTGAGCTCAAGTGATCCTCCCACCTCAGCCTCCCGAGTAGCTGGGGCTACTGCTGTGCCTGGCTTCCTTTCTTTTATGAGACAAAGAGTGCCATGGTTCAAAGTGGGTGGTCATCGGCCTAATAAATCCCCATAACAGGATAATATTTACAAAACCTTGGAGCATGAAGATTACACTTATCTGTAGGAATTCCAATGATGTCAGTCATAGCTAAGAGTAACAATTAACAGCTCCAACAAGGAAGGCTAAGTATTACCCAAGACCAACAGGACAGACCACTAGCGGGTGAAGCCAAGAGCATATGCAATCAAACAGGTGTAAGAGAGAAGATACATTTGGAATGTGACCTCCCTCCACCCCCCCAAAAAAAAATCTAGTTAAAATGATTACACTTATACATTTATACCCCACCTCATTTCATAAAGATTATATAGGTAAAAAACACAATAAAAAGAAAAATATAAATTGAAAATAAATTTCAGAGAGGCTAAGATGTAGCTCAGTAGTAGAGTACTTGTCTAGCATGTGTGAGCCCCTGGGTTCAATCTCTAGTACCTCAAAAAAAAAAAAAAAACCAAAATAATAGGACATCAAAACCAGTAAAAAATGCAGGCTAGGATTGTGGCTCAGTGACAAAGTTCTTGCCTTGCATCTGTGAGGCACTGGATTCGAACCTCAGGACCACATAAAAATAAATAAACAAAATAAAGATATTAAAAAAAAACTAGTAAAAAATGAAAATTATTTGGCTTTTAAAATTATAATATTGCTTTATTTGAACAATTTTTTTAACTATTTTATTTGATTCCAAGTTTCCTGGCAGCTGAAGTGAAACAAATATTGTCAGTTATAAATGGATATAATTTTAGGAACAATTCTTATCAAAGCAAGGCTTTTTTATTTCCAGATATTTTTCATAAAAATATGAAAAAAAAAATCACACTGCGTTACATATGGGTTACTATATAGACAAGAGGATAAAGAAAACATTTTGATGCACTTGTCTGGTGTTAGAAAAAAAATTCCTCATATTTGTGTAATAAATTCAACACCAGAAGACAYAATCTTACCTTTACACCTTTATAATAACCTTTAAAACTGAGGTTTTCCATCTTAAGAATCAAAATTTAAAACTTTAGACATGCAACTTACAAATTTATATCAACAAATTATGAATAATTTAAAACGAATACAGAGGAAAGAAACAAGTTTTACCTCTACAGCCTGACTCTGAGGACTCTTGAGAGAGTACCTGGTCTTGAGCACTTCCTAAGTGGTCAGAACATGGGCTGGATGAGGCATGTTCACCTCCTTGGAGAGAAAAAGAAAATTGAAAGGGTTAGTTAARTAAAGCCAAACTCAGTTTTATAGTTTCTGATAAAAGAACTATCCCTTTTGAGTTAATTTATGGCTTTGCTTATTCATATTTCCCTTGCCTAAATCAAGACACAAATTCATGCTGTTAACGTTTACCTCCACACTTTAGATCCCCCTGCTCTTCCTTGGCATTTTTCCACTGAACCCAATTCTTCCAGGCATTCACCCCATACATATATTTCAGGGTCATTCCAGACACTGAACACCCTTGAAAGGCTCCTTGAATAAGACTCCTGGGCTCCATAGCCACTATAGACTTCTTCCGTCCCTGTAAGAATTCCAAAAATTTACAGAATATAAAAATGCAGTTTTGGATCTTTAAGAATCAGAGTTCTCAAAGCTAGAAAGGGCATAAACCTATAGGATATGAAATTTAGTTTTATATCATTAAGATTTAGAGTTCTAAATGGGCATGGTGGCACATGCCTGTAATCCTAGCAGTTTGGGAGCCTRAGGCAGGAGAATGCAAGTTCAAAGCCAGCCTCAAAATTTAGCATGTATCAAAATAAAAAATAAAAAAGGGATGGAGATGTGTTCAGTGATTATTAAGCACTCCTGGGTTAATCCCTGGTCCCCTCCCTCCAAAAAAGATTCAGAATTCTTAGAGCTGAATAGGGCTTTACAGATTATTTAAACCAACTCATATAAAAGGAAAAAAATGCATAAATATAGAAAATCATCTTGTACTAATTACCAACATTTGAGTATTAGTGTGTTCCAAACACGGGCTCTACCCAATGAGAGATAGATATCACTATTATTACCAGTTGGGCCTATTTAATAGAATATATTTTGAGTAATTAAAAAAAGGGCCTTTAAAAATTCTCTAACCACATTAGAACTGAATTAGAACCCTCTGATGGAAATATGCTAAGAAAATTCTCCAAAATCATAAATTAATAGTATACTTATAAATATTCCATGGATCAAAGAAGAAATTACAAATGGACATTCAGCTCAATGGTAGTAGTGCACTTGCCTCACATGCACAAGGGTGGTGGGTTCAATCCCTAATACCACAAGGGGGACAAAAAAAAAAAAGTAAAGAAGGAATTTTAAATGCAATTAGAAAACATTGTGAACATAAATGAAAACAAATTGTCATCAAAATTTCTGTGATGGAGCTAAGACTTTAAATGCTTTTAGGAAAAAATGATATAAAAATTATACATTCTAAACTTTATTTTTTTTAGTTGTAGACGTCATAATGCCTTTATATTATTTATTTAGTTATTTATTTATTTTTATGTGGTGCTGAGGATCAAACCCAGATCCTCACATGTGTCAGGCAAGCATTCTACAATTGATAAGCCTCGATCTTAATAAACCAGAAAAGAGGACCAGAGTATAACCCAAACTAAGAAGGAAATGTTTAAAATAAGAGCAAAAATCAGTAGGGAATAAAAAGAGACAGAAAAATTAATGAAATGAAACTGATGATCTGAATAGCTACAGAAACTAAATTTACAATTTAAAACCTTTTCCACAAGAAACACCAGATCCAGAAGGGTTCACAGTTGAATTTCACTAGTTAAAGAAATTATACAAATTGTACTTCACATAACAAGAGAGAATTTGATATCACCAACACCCTGATACCAAAACCAAAATCATTACAAGAAAACCATGTGAATAATTCTTGAACAGAGACACTTAAAACCTYACTGAAATATAGGCAAACTGAATTCTGTAATATATAAAAAAACAAATAAATATATCATTTTTAAAAAGTAGKGTTTATTCTAGGAATGCAAGTTTAATCATTTGGATTTTTTTTAAAGTAATATATTTTGTCATTTAACAGACTCAAAAAAGGAAAACCGGATACTATCTCAAAAGAAGCAAGAAATCCACCAAACAAAACTCAACAGCCAACCCTGGTAAGAATCTGCAGCAGATCAGGAAAAGGGAATGTCCTCAACCTGGTGGAGGCCATACATGGGATACCTACAGAAAACAACACACTAAACGTTGCAAGACTAAACCCTTTTGCCTGAASATTAGAAACAATGCAAAAAAGGTCATCTTAGTAATAATAATCAGGAGAGGTCTTAGCTAAGTTTGATACAGCAAGAAAAAAGGAAAATACATTCAGATTAGGAAGGAAAGAGTAAAACTAAAACTCTTTTTTTGCCACAAATAACATGATTGTCTAGGTAGAAAATCCTATGGAATTTAATGGTGCAAAGCTAAAGAACATAGACTAAACACACAAAAATCATTTGCATTCTTATATACTAATAAGGAATACAGAAATGAAATTTTAAAATACTACCACTTATAGCCAGCCTCAACAACTTGGTGAGACAAAAAAGGACTGGGGATGTGGTTCAGTGGTAGAACATCCCTGATTTTAAACCCCAATATTGCATACAAACAAAAAGAAACAAACATAAGAGAATATCTGAGTTGGGTAAAGGCACAAAATGGCAAATACACACATGAAAAGATGTTCAAAATCATCAAACACACAATCAGAATATACTCTACTACAAAGTCACTGGACTGGTAAAATTCAAACTCCATAATACCAAGTGTTTGCAAAGTCATGGAGCTTACAGACTCTCACACACTTTAAAAAAAAATTTTTTTTATGTGGTGTTAAGGATCGAATCCAGTGCCTTATACATGCTACCACTGAACTACAATGTCAGCCCTTGTATGTTGGTAACTGGAATATGAAATAGTAAATTCACTTTTTTGTTTTCTTTCTTTCTTTCTTGTTGTTGTCGTTGCAGTACTAGGGAGAGAACCCAGGGGTACTGTACCCCTAAGCTATATSCCCATCACCAATACCCCTTACCCCTGACCTTTATTTTAGGAGGAGGGTCTCACTAAATTGCTAAGGCTGGCCTCAAATTTACAATCCTTCTGCCTCAGCCCCCTGAGACACTAGGATTATTGGTATGTGCCACTATGTTTGGCAGTAGACCTACTTTCAAAAACAATGTGGCAGCTTTCCTATAAAGTTAGAAATATACTTAGTGTAAAACGTAGCAATCCCATTTTCTAAATATTTTTCTTCTGAGAAATGAAAATATATGTTAACACCAAGGCTTATTCTAAAATATTCTTAAAAATATTATTCAAAATATTCCAGACTTACAATCCTAGCTATTTAGAAGACTGAGGCAAAGGACTGCAAGTTTGAGGCCAGTCCTGGGCAAAAAAATGAGACACTGTCTCAAAATAAAAAAATAAAAAGGTGCTGAGGAAGTAGCTCTCTGTAGTGCTTGTCTAGCACAATGTGTTTAATCTCAGTACCAAAATAAAAAAGAACAATAACAACAAAAGGCCCCAAAATGGAAACAACACAAATTTCTATTACCTATTAAACAGTTGCACAAATTTTAGTATGTCCTTATTAAATGCTACTCAAAACTATAAAGAACAAACCACTGAGAYATGAAACATGGATGAATTTCAAAAACACTATGCTAAGTGAAAGAACCTAGACATAGCGGACAATATACTTATGAGACTATTTTTATGAAATTTTAGAAAAGGTAGACATTTATATCAACTGACACAGCATACTGACAGTGTCAGCACATGGAGATGAGGCTGACGGCAAAAAGTTGTGAAAAACTTTCTGATTCTTTCAGGAAAAAAGAATTTTTCATAATTGTGGTAGACTGAACATACTACATACATGTGTCAAAGTCCGTCACATTATATCTTTAGAATTTATTAAATCCAACTTTCATAAGTCAACAGAGCCAATTAAAAAAATAAGATTAGTATTCATTTAACTTTGTTAGGGGAAAGCCCTTTTAGCACAAAAGATTGCACATATGACCTTCATCATTACACTTTACTATATAAAATAGTGATCTCAAGTATTAGAACATAAAAAAGTAGCTAAATTTAGATTTCTTAAATGAGAAATATACATTAAAAAGGATTATGAAAACTTTTAAATATAATAAAACAAACCCTCAATTATAGAAAAGAAAAAGAAAGGAAGGAAGAGGGAGAGGGAAGGATAGAGGGAGGGTTGGTCTGTACTGAAAAAAAATGTAACAGAAGGCCAGGTACAGTGTAATCCCAGCGACCTGGGAGGCTAAAGCAGAAAAGGATTGCAAGTTCAAGACGAGTTTCAGCAATTTAGTGAGGCCCTAAACAACTCAGCAAGACCCTGACTCAAAAAAAACAAACAGCACTAAAACAAAACGAAAAACCAGCTAGGAATAGATCAGTGGTAAATCATGCCTGGGTTCAATTAATTAAAATGAAATGTGGAAAAAAAAAAAAAACGATACCGAACTTCAAGACATAAAAACAAAAGCACAAAAACATAAGGTTGTAAAATAATGCACACAACTGCCCCATTCTGGCTATTAGAGAGTTTTATAAACAACAGGAACTAATAAATACTGGTAGAATAAAGGAAAGAAAACTCTAGAAAAATTAAGTTGCTGCTTACTCTTCGTCTGGGCTGGGGGAAACCATCTCTGTGTCGTCTTCTTGTTCGGGAACGTGCCTGGATCCCCTGTCCTTTGTTAAGTGGGTCAAAGGATTCTATGATAATCAGCAGAAAGCATGATATATGTTAATTAACTTCCAGATTTAAATAAAGATATAGACTGGGGAAATACTAAGTAATCATCACTATAGTCATTATTTTGTCATGAGAATTTACTTACATACTTAAGAGAAACGAGGGATATAGCACTTAAATGAAAACATTACTAACAAGAAAATTTCCTACAGAACAGTTACTGTGAAAAAGGTAAGATAATAATGTTCAAAAACCAATGTTCAAACCAKTGACTTGGGAGGCAAAGGCAGGAGGATAGCAAGTTAAAAGCCAGCCTCAGCAACTCAGTGAGCCCCTGTCTCAAAATAAAAATACAAACAACTGGGGATGTGGCTCGATGGTTAAGAGTCCCTGGATTCAATCCCTGTTACCAAAACCCAAAAACAACAATAATAAAAAACACAAAATAATTTAACCACTTTTGAGAACAAAATTGCACAAACCAAAGCTAGAAAAGACAGGAACCACTTGTACCCTAGATTACCTCTAGTACATTTTAACTGTTTTATAATGTCAATCTGGAGTTTTACCAATCTTCTAAAATAAAGGACTTTAAGTGAATAGGTTATATTGCACAAACCTGATGGAAAATCTGCTTCCAGATCCTGTTCGGTTTCCCCTTTTGAAAACTGTTTCAGTTCTGAATCGGCTTCTTGCACAGCATTTGTCTTTAAGGCATAATGATTCAATTCTTCTTCCCAGCTATGGGGAGTAGATACTGCCTCTGATTCAAGATCACCACTATATGTACTTCCTTGGTCTGAAAAATTAAGAATATTTCAGAAAATAAGATAGTCTCAAAAATAAGAAACCCTCAAAATAAGATAGTCTCCTTACATGCTCAGAAACCTTCCTAAACTTCTGAACACCAAATCTGAAATACAACCAATGAATAATTATCTAGGTACACTTAAGAACAAAGCAATTTGTTCACCTGTCTCACAGAACTGAATTCATATTCTTGGTAAGCACATTAAAGCTTAACTCCATCCTTAAAACAAATGTTTGGGGCAGTTTTTATTATTCTCACTAAGGATTAGCATATACCATGGATACTTGATGCCCCTTAAAATAATTAAAATCACAAATATTACATGGAATTCTTTTCAGGCTTTAATTACTAACAAAGGATAGGATTTCAAAGAACCAAAGTATATTTACAACTACAAACCTTTTTCAAATATTTTAGTGTCTAGAAAGAGTTCCTGTTCAGAAGTCTGAGATCCTAAAGGAAAAGCAAAGCACATAATAAAATGATTTATAAGTAAACAAAAAACAAACTGCATCTCAAATGAGATGACTATTATATACATGCACAATACCACGGAGTTCTAAGTAAACAGACTTCAGAACATAAAAACTCATTAAAATAATTAAACACTAGTGGCAAAAGCAGTTAAATCATCATCACTATTAATAGTGGCTATACTTCTAGGAAGCAGTATAAAAAGTCATGAAGAGAGGAATTTTCACTTTTGATTTTATACTTTTCTGCTATATAAAATCCTTCTTTAAAACCATACGCCCCAAATTTATTCAATGATTAACAAATCTGCTTTAAGTTGTTCCCCCAAATATAATAATCCTTACTATCAAACTGAAAAAATAAATAAATAAACTTATAATAATTAAATGTTACATTAGCTGACCATGGTGGTGCACACTTGCAATTCTCAGTTATTCAGGAAAGCTAACATGGGAGGATGGCATGTTCAAGGACTGCCTTAGCAACCTGGCAAGCCCCTGTCTCAATATAAAAACTACAAAGAACCAGGTAGAGCACCCCTGGTTTTCAATACCCAGAAAAAAAAAATAAGTTACATGAACATTCAGTATACAGAACTAAACAGAACATAGTACAATCAACTCTAAAGTATGTGGAAAGTACAAAGCTAGAAGAGTCAAGTGGTGTTTTTGCCCAGAGCAAGAACTTAACAAAGCTTCAATATTGATGTGAAAGGAGAAGTCAATTTAAAATGAGGTATATAATCAAAAATTGTCTGAACTTCCAAACTAAATATATTACCGGAGATTAGAAGAGCAAGCACAGGGACATTTGGGACATTAAATTCCATATGTGTGCAACAGAATTTTGAGATTTTAACATTAAAGAGAAAAATAACAGAAGGAACACTGGAAAAACAATATATAAGTTTCCATCAATCTCTCAAAATATATGCGACTCAGAAACTTACTGGCAATACAACAGAAAAGTTGACAGCAGTTTTTTCAAATCCTTCAGTGTTCAGAAAATCACCTAGCATTTACTATGCAAAATCAAAATCTACCACTGAATAAAAGAAAAAACTTTCAAGAAAAGAGTAAGCTTATTGACTCATCAGTAATTTATGGAAAGGTCTTTGTGAAAACTCAGCTACATATTTCAAATATTATAAATGACAATTTCTCCACCTCTTTCTATATCCAAAAACCAAGGATGTGCTAATTAAAACTAGAAACCTTTCTGAAATATTATTATATTTGATTACYATGTACTCTGGCATCACACAGATCTGGATTCAAGTTCAGATTCCACATTTGTTGACTACACAATCAGAGCAAATCTAATATTCTATTTTTCAGGAAAGAAATCTGAAGTAAACGATACCCTCCTCACAGGGCTGTTGTAAAGATTAAAATGAAATAGAGAGGAGCTGGGGGTACAGCTCAGTGGAAGAGCGATATATCTCACACATGTGAGGCACTGGGTTTGATCCTCAGCACCACACAAAAATAAATAAAATAAATAAAGATATTGTATCCATTTTTTAAAAATCTTTAAAAAAATGAAATGACAATGCACATAACACAATGCTAAAGGAATGGGAAATATGGATGAATGTTACTATCATCCTTGTTCCAACCTATTAAAATGAGATTTATATATAGGCCATTTTGAGCCCAAAGGTTTTACATCTTAAGGTTCTGTTTACCCTTTATCAGCATGCWGGTTATTATATATCAGGAAGTCTTATATATAGATCATAGCTTTGAATACACAGATAAAATCAGAAAATGATCATAATTTAAGTTTTAAAATTACCTGAATTATGAGAAATTTTGTAGATTTTTTTCTTTYTTTCTTTACTTTTCTTTGAAAATTTTTAGGGGGCTTAGGGGGCACCAAGTAAATCCAAGGGCACTTAATCATTGAGTCACATTGCCAGCCCTTTTTATTTTTTATTTAAAGACAGGTTCTTGCTAAGTTGCTTAGGGCCTCACTAAGTTGCTGAGGCTGGCTTTGAACTTGTGGTYCTCATGACTCAGCCTCCCAAGCCACTGGGATTACAGGTGTGTGYCACCATGCCTGACTTCTTTCTTTACTTTTAAAGATTGTACCAACCTCCTTGGGATAGAGTCTTTTCCTTCTCTTCATCTTCTGCAATCATTTCTGCCATCTCAAGGAGATCAGCTTCAAAYGGATGTGTAGGAAGTTTTTCCTTAATGTCTTCAATATTTTCGGGGACTTTATCTTCATTGTCCATTGAGGATGGAATAAGCATGGGGACAGGCATCTGAAAGACCATGGACAGACTGAAAAGTTTCTTATACAATAGATTTGTACTCAAAACCATTATTTACAAGATTATTTAAGTATTAAAAACAATAAAGTCAAGATATTGTCACTGCTGATGATCATGTAGTCTTGACTGTTCATTTTTTATAAGACTAGAACGATTAAAATAAAAGCTTAGTAAGTGCTTTTCTGAACACTCAACAAAATATGTCTGAATCCTTCAAAATAGTAATTCTATAACTCAGTTTCATTTTTGTTTTGGCATACACTCCTTGCTAACATTTTCGCACAACTATTTCCCTTAAGGATTCAGTACAGGAAAAATAAATGTTCATATTTAAAAAAAAAAAAATAGCTGGGCTGGGGTTGTGGCTCAGCGGTAGAGTGCTCACCTAGCTCATGTGAGGCCCTGGGTTCGATCCTCAGCACCACATAAAAATAAATAAACAAAATAAAAGTATTGTGTACAACTAAAAAGTAAATTTTTTAAAATAGCTTTCTTTAAAAAACAAACAAACAAACAAACAAACAAAAAACAAACCTGAGAAATAAAAAAATCACATGATTCTTTTTACCCTGGCTAGAATCCCAAGATTCTAATGCATGCAGTTCCTGATCTTTTTCTATTTAGTGATCTTACATCATAACACTAGCCAAGAAGGCAGGGTATAAATAAAAGCAGTTCGCTACATACTCCAGAGCCAACCAGAATCAGTTATACTTTACCAGTGAGTGAAAATTTTCTTTAGAGAGCTGTAAAATTTAAACATAGGAAAAACATATGCTAAATTCGCCTTTTCTCTACATGATTACTCACTGGAACAGGAATTCCAAAGGGGACTGGTGCATACTGAGTATAAAGATGAAGAGGTATCGGCACAAACACTGGCACAGGAACTGGCACCACAATAATCTGGGGCTGACTTGGAGTGTCTTCTAATGGAGGAAAAAATTGACAAAGGAAAAAGAAAGGAGAAATATTTTAATAAAATATCTTCTAAAAAAGGTTATGGAGATTTGGGTTTCAAAGTAAGTGTTATCTCTAAGAAGATATGCTGGAGAAAAGACGTAAATACCTTCAATAAATGCTGGAAAGACAAAATCCATATGCAGAAGAATGAACCTAGATTCCATATCTCTCATCACTTTAAAAAAAAATCAACTCAAAATGGACTGAAGAATTAAATCCAACATGTGCAACTATGATTAGAAGAAATCAGAAAATACTTTAGGACACTACTTTGAGCAACATAAATAAAATGACAAATGAAAATAATTAGAAGAGTTAAGAGACAAGCTACAGACTAGCAACAAACATCTGACAAAGGATTAATGTCCAGAATGTATAAGAAATTCGAATAACAGCAAAAMAACCCCACAAATAATCTGATTTTAAACTGGGCAAATGATCTGAACAGATATTTCTTCAAAGAATAAATAAAAATAAAGCACAAATGCTAAGGTCTGAATGTATGTGCCCACAAGACTCCACTGTAATTAGACATGGCCCCCAGGTGGTACTGTTGGGAGATGGGGAAACCTTTAAGAGGTAGAGTCTATTGGGAGGTCCTTAGATCATTGAAATGGACTGTGGGATGCTAGTCTCCTTGTGCTCATGGTTCAAGATGCAATTATTTGCTTGCTCCCATATATTCTCCTCCAATGCTGTCCATGCCATCAAGTAATGAGTGGGATACCCTGAGTTGATGTCAACTGGCCTTTGARCATCCAAAATTCTGAGATGAAGAAATCTATTTTTTTTATTTTTATAATATTTTTAGTTGTCAATGGACCTTTATGTTTTTTATGTGGTGCTGAGAATTGAACCCAGTGCCTCACACATGGCTAGGCAAGTGCTCTACCACTGAGCCACAACCCCAGCCCCAAAATCTATTTTCTTTATAAAGTTAGTTGCCTTCATTATATTTACGAAAACAAGTATGAAGAAATTCTCAACATCACTAATGATCAGGGAAACATAAATCAAAATCACAATGAGGGGCTGGAGTTGTGGCTCAGTGGCAAAGTGCTTGCCTAGCATGGGTGAGGCACTGTGTTCAATCCCCAGCACCACAAAAAAACAAATAAAGGTATTGTGTCCATCTACAACAAAAAAGAAAGAATGAGTTAAAACAAAAAAAAATCACACTGAGATATCACCTCAGAATGACTTATCAAAAAACAAAAAATAACAAATGCTAGCAATGATGTATATAAAGGGGAATTCTCCTATACTATTCATGGGAATGTAAATTAATACACCTTTTATGGAAACAGTATGAAGAAACCACTGGGTGTTGTGGTGCATGCCTGTAAACCCAGAGACTTGGAAGTTTGAGGCAGGGAAACACTAGTTTGAGGACAGCCTTGGCAACTTAGTGAGATCCTGTCTCAAAATAAAAAATAGGGGCTTGAGTTGTAGCTCAGTGGTAGAGTGCTTGYCTAGCACATGAGAGGCACTGGGTTCAATCCTTGGCACCACATAAAAATAAATAAACAAAAAAGTATTGTGTCCATCTATAACTTAAAAAAATAAAAAATATAAGTAAGTAAATAAATAAAGTTGGGGATGTGGTTAAGCTCCCCTGTGTTCATCTCAGGTGGGGGTAGGGGAAACATGATGAAAACATAAGGCATTTGCCTTCTCAAGTAGCCACTTGGGAAGCTAAGTACACTCTGGACATTAATCCCTTGTCAGATGAATAGTTTACAAATGTTTGTTGCTAGTCTATAGCTTATCTCTTAACTCTTCTAATTGTTTCAATTTGTCATTTTATTTATGTTGTCTCTGCTCTTTGGACCATATTCAAAAAAATCTTTGCTCAGACTAGTGTCCTAAAGCATTTTCTGGATTCTTCTAATAGTTTCATAGCTGTATATGTTGGATTTAATTCTTCAGTCCATCTTGAGTTGATTTTTTTTTTTTTAATGTGATGATTCTAACTCTCACTTTGGCCTAGAAGTTCAGGGCCAGCCAGGGCAACCTGGCAAAAACCAGTCTCTGAAAAACAACTGCAAAAACTAGAAATAAAACTATCATTTAGAAAGAATACAGGATTCATTCTATTATTTAACAAAAAAATATCTATAGAGAACTTTCCAAGTTCCAGAAAMTGTTCTAAATAATTGTAAACTCATTGATGTAGGAGAATAAGTGACAAAAAGAGAAATGCTAATAATCTGACTAGGGTTACAGGTGAGAAAGTTGTAAGGCATCAATTTTAGCATCAATTTTTAGACAAAAAATATTTTATTTGATTAGATAGGAAGTCAGCATTAACACAATAAAAAGAAATCACTAAATTAGCCATAGTTATTTTGTGTGGTCCAAGGACCAGTAGCACTGACTTTACCTGGAAGTTTATAAAAAGCGTAAATTTTTAAAATCCACTGAATAAGAATCTACTTAGTGAGATTCTCAGGCAGAGCATATTAATGTTTGAGAAGCACTGGCCTATAGGACAACCTTACCGATTTAGGAATCTAAGTTTCCTTTCTAGTTTAAAAATTCTGGGACTTTTGGATGGTAGCATAAGAAAACTATGCAGACCCATTCCCTAGTGAAACAAACAAAGTAGATGAAAACTACTAAAACTCTCTAGGAAACTGCTGAAAGGGCATAATAGCAAATGAAGAAACATTCCTTCAAGAAAAACTATTAAAATGCAGTAAGAATTGTGARTCTATGATATTCCAGCCCCTACCTGCTCTATCACCCAAGTTCAACTCAGTTCAACTTGACATAAGCTCCATTCTCAGTCACTACAGCAAGGAAGAGCAAACTTCTCTCCCCAATAAAGGATTACCAAACTCACCAGTATCAGGTAAGGATTACCAAATTCATCAGCATTTCTCACTCCCTCCAACTCAGGGCTGAAGAAACTAAATTGCTGGTGTGTGTGGCCACACTTTAGCCAACTTTCATTTACAGGATGAAGGATCTAAAATAGGAACAGGAGGCTAAAAACACTGGGATCCTGATCACCCTCACCCTAGCTCACTTATAGAGCCGAAGTTGCATGCCAGGAGAGGCATAGAAGAGGCCCAGAGATTTTTTTCCTATGGAGAGAGGCAGTTTATAAGGAAAGAAAACTCTTCTTCAAAAAGAAGCTTTTCTGGGCTGGGATTGTGGCTCAGTGGTASAGTGCTCGCTTAGCATGCACGAGGCACTGGGTTCTATCCTCATCACCACATAAATATAAAGAATGAAGAGATATAAAATAAAGAGATTGTGTCCACCTAAAACTTAAAAATAATTTTTTTTTTTTTTTTTTTAAAAGAAGCTTTTCTGAAGTTCTCCCCAAGGCAACTGACTTTATTTAAAACAGTGTGACGGGCTGGGGGTATAGAGAGTTAGAAGGAAAGAGGAAAGGAAGGGTGGGAGAACCAACAAAACAAGAGCTACGGTAGATCAAACTTGAATAGCCCCCCCCCCCCTTTTTGGTACCAGGGATTGAACTCAGGGGCATTCAACCACCAAGGCACATCCCCAGCCCAATTTTGTATATTATTTAGAGACAGGGTCTCACTGAATTGCTTAATGACTTGCCATTGCTGAGGCTGGCTTTGAACTTGCAATCCTCTGGCCTTAGCCTCCCAAGCTTCAGGGATCACAGGCGTGCGCCACCAAGCCCAGCATTAAATAGCCCCTCTTTAGAGCCTGCCTATATTACTCTAAAGCTTATTCTTATTCCTCAATACAACCATCAATAAGGAAATTAAACAAAGTGTTCACAGAATGCTATTATCAATCAACTTTCTTCCCTTCAACCTAACTTGTTRAGGCCCAGGGAAAATAACTTTACTCATAGAGATGTTGAAGGAATTAAAATGGCAATATATATAAGCAACCCAAGACTCTACACTGGAAAAAAATATGTACTTACGGTAAACAGATCCCACATTCCTTTCCCATAAAAAAATAAAGTCCAAGGAACATACCTGTCTGGCATTCTTTGTTTTGGGTATGTGGTTTGCAGGAAGTGGCTTTAGTCTGTGTGATAGGTTTGCACAATAAAGCTTTATTCTTCAAAAGTCTTGGAGGCTGGCAAGGTGGAAGTTTCAGGGCATCTGTTTGTGTACTTGCCTAGTAAAAATCAAATCAGAAAGCAAAGAAGTGTTCAAAATATTATCATTAATTACAAGAAATATTATAATTTTAAAAGAAATACCAGGGGAGCAATATTGGCCAAATTATATTGTTATATTGTGTGTACGTACAAATATAACAACAGATCCCATCATTATGTACAACTACAGTGTACCAATAAAAAAATGTGGCAAGAGAAAAACAAAAGCAATTATTATATGGGAATTATGCAGAAGACAGAGCAGTATTTCTGAATCATTAATAGTAATCAATGAGTAATAAGTATATACTGACTCAATGTATTTAGTTACAGCTTCTGTATACCAAGTAAAATGCTAATCCTATTATATACATTGTTGATCAGTAAAAATACTAGCTGGGTTTGAAATTAGACCTGTTATATCTTAAACAAGTTAGAAATACAGAATCATTGTTAGAGGACTTAACTAGGAACAACAGAATCAAGTATGATCATAAAACTAACTTGAATAAAGATGATATGAATTATTCCAGAAACCAGTAAACACTTTAGAAATGTCACTGTTCCAGACATGAGTTTTGTTCACTATTATTTTCTTCTTCTTTTAAGGGATATACTAGAAAATATTAATTAGTTTAAAAACATGAATGGTTATTTACAGTATAATCTTCATGGGATAGGGTAGAGAATAAGCTACGTTTTAAAAATATTTTACTGACAATCTAAGTATGTTACACATCATCTGAAAGTCTAAAAAATAAAATGCTTAAATTCTTTTTTTAAAATATTTATTTATTTTTTAGTTATAGTTGGACATAATACCTTTATTTCATTTATTTATTTTTATGTGGTGCTGAGGATCAAACCCAGGGCCTCCTGTGTGCAAGGCGAACGCTCTACCACTGAGCCACAACCCCAGCCCTAAAATRCCTAAATTCTGTAAAATTTAACTCTTGTACAATTAAAAAAAAAAAAAATTCATTAACAGCATAATTGTAGTGAGCATTCAAAGAAATTAAAGTATACAAAAGACCCAGTTAAATAGCCAGGAAATCCTATTCCTAAACAAAGATTAAAAGAAATGAACTTTATTTATTAAATGAGGGTAAATTAGATTGTATTGTTCTGTATTGTATAAGAACAGAAAATAAATACAGTGACAATACCAACAAAAATTTTTTTWAAAAACTTACATCTCCAATGATTTTTGCGGTTACCGTTGGAACTGCACCTTGATATAAATGAAAACATAAATTTAGGATCTCTCACAATTATTTAAATATTAGTTTTAAAGGCTGATTATCTGTCTATAAGCAGTAAGTCTCAAACTAAGAGCATGTTTATCTTCATTCAATTCAGTGGAAGAAACTAGCAGTTCTAAAGTAAGCATAGGATGGAAATACTTTTCAGTGGCCTACTCATAGTGAGCCATTATTCCTAATATGAATGTGTCAAACATACAAAAATGATCACATAAGAGAAAGGTAGAGAATCACTGTATTTAACTCAAAAAGGCAACATAAATCCTTTCAAATCCAGCCATACCTTGTAAGACACTGTTAGAATTCACTGTGGGTTGAGCAGCAGGAGCACTTGCCAATGACACCACGTTAGCTATAACTGGAGTTGAATCTTTTCTGAGAGATGGGGGCCCTGCGGAAGCAGCTTGAACCATGGAAATACTTGCTGGTTAAAATAAAAATAGAGAAACCTCATGTAACTTATATGTTCTCACATAGAAACCAGCATCTCAAAGAGGTTAAACAGTGCTTTCTTTTAGGTTTGAATAATTTCTGTTGGAGCAGCGTCTCTTCAGGATTAACAGGGTTTTGGATTTCTAGTTTTTAAATAATGAAACCTGAAAGTGTTCCATATTGCTTTATAAAAAAAGCACCAAATACTCACACTTAAAAACCAACAACAAAAATCCCAAAAGCACTGAAAATCACAGGGTAGATTTAATGGACATTTAACATTTGAAGGATTTCTTCAGTTTATATAATAGCCTTTTATACTTCTTATTACTTATAAAGGTACTATACAAATTAAACTATCTTTCAGGATGGAATTAGTTTTGTGTTTTTAAACCACAAAGTTTCTGAGATTAAATAGCATAAATAGTAGTTTGTGGTATATTTAAAAGGCATGTGATTTAGGCTTTATGTCTTTTGTTATAAATAGTCTCAAATCTTTTTTTAAGGAATCAAAGTGTATTTACAAAAACCTTAACTGTCATCCTTTCCCATAAACGTAAATACTTGYAGAGTTTGATTAATCTGATACACTGAGAAATGCTTTTTTAATAAAAAAGAAAAAAAACTCATTTGCCTGGCTTTAATTTGAAATGTTTAACAAAATAGGATGTAAATGTTTTTTATAAAGCAACATTTATTTGACTACAATGAAATTTAAAATTAAATTACTGACAATTGTTTATAGTTTCTAGTTTGTAGTTCTTGGCATTGACCAAAGACTCCACTTATTACCTGAATTGTTTTGTGAAGGTGGGTCACATACACTTTGCTGATTGCAGAACATCAAGATACAAAGCAGGTTACAAAAATGTTTTATTTCCCCTCGCCATTTTAAGGACTCACTGAGTTTACCCTGTCGTTTACAACCATCACATTTGGCCATCTGAAACCAAAATAAAAGATAATAATGAAGAAACAAACTACCTGAGGTCTGACAGAATAAAAACATCACACATATAATAAGTGAGGATATTTTTTTTTTTTTTAAAGAATTTTAACATTTATTTTTTAGTTCTCGGCGGACACAACATCTTTGTTGGTATGTGGTGCTGAGGATCGAACCCGGGCCGCACGCATGCCAGGCGAGCGCGCTACCTACCGCTTGAGCCACATCCCAGCCCCAATAAGTGAGGATATTAACTTAGAATATAAATCATGAAATTAAAGACTGTTCTAAAAGGGTAAATATTACTTATTTTATTAATGATTTTAATTTTTAATTAAAAAGTCATATTGTAAAGAGCCTCCCCCCAAAGTAGCAGTTACAAAAACAAAGTGGGCACGATGGTGCTCGTCTGTAATTACAACAGCTTGACAGGCTGAGGTAGGAGGATCCCGAATTCAAAACCAGCTTCAGAAACTCAGCGGGACCCTAAACAACTCAATGAGACCCTGTCTCTAAATAAAATATTAAAAAGGGCTAGGGATTTGGCTCAGTGGTTAAGTGCCCATGGGTTCAATTCCCAGTATCAAAAAAAATAAAAATAAAAAACAAAGAGAAGTTTAAATTTAAATAAGGAATATCTTCCTCAGACTTCAAAATGAAAATTTATTTTATTTAAGTAATAAAAATTAGGTCTGGGGTTGTGACTCAGTGCTTGAGTGCTTGCCTGGCACATGTGAGGCACTGGGTTCAATCCTCAGCACCACATAAAAATAAATAAATAAAAGTATTGTGTCCTTCTACAACTAAAAAATATTTATAAATAAATAATAAAATTATAATTTTAAATAGGTTTATGTCTTATGAATGATGTGACTTCTACAAAAATTAAAAATGTAAACAGATAAAATTCAAKGACATTAAAGTCTTCCCAAATCTTAAAGAGTTTTAAATCATTAAGTTATTCTTCATTCTACATAAAATTTGAAAAGAGAATAATTCATGCTAAAACTCCAAAAATGTGTAATGTGAATTATAGATTACCTGATAGAATAAAACTGTATATTTGGACATGCATTCTTCACAACAAAAATCTTCCACCTTTCCTCCCAAATTATTCTGTACTAATTTGGGAGATGTCTGTAAACAATAACTGCACATTTTACAATGACTTCCCCAGCGTTTTCCCAAGTCATGTTTATAAAGCAGTTTGCAACCTAAAAATTGGGAAAGAGAAAGTTAACATTCTGGAGAAATATTAATTATCTACATCTTTAAATTAATTTCCCTAGAACAAAGTTCTCTCACTTGGGTCCTGACCTATTTAGCACATCAAGAGATCAATTAAGAGGATAAAAACTAGCTTTTTTTTTTTTAAGTGAAAGAAGATAGAGGACAGGATTGAAAACGTTACATGGCTTCCCATATATGAAGTTTYATTTCATGAAATTATTTTTATTTGGGTATGTGAAAATACACTAGGTCACAATGTAAGATGTAATTCTATTGTGCTGTCACCAAAAGATTTGAAAGCCATGGGTCTAAAAATGATAATCCTGTGAAATCAAACGAAAGAGTCATCTAAAAAATGAAAAAAAATCTACTTTGTAGTAATTTGCATATTCAGACCACTTATATTCAAAAATAGAGTGGCTGTTTAAAACAATTAAAGTATAAACTAGGATGCTACTAAAATTTAAGGATTTCTATTTAGAAATTAGTATAAGAACTACAATATATTTTAGTTCTTCAATCTAATAATGTAAAATGTTTTCAAATCACCATCTTCTGCATTATATAAGAAGATTTCTGACTTTGTTGTATTACCCATATAATATGAAAGACTAGATTTAAAAAGAGTGAACTATGTGTCAACCAATCAAAAAGGCTTTGGAAATAAACATAGAAGATAAAACAGCCAAATTTACATAGTAATACCTTAAATCACCAACTACTTTTAAAACAACCAACATGTGCAGTAGGTAAGATTATCTTCTGCCTTTACCTTCACTACAGAATGACTTGTCAGCACCTGAGAATCGCACAGTCTCCTTCACAATTTTCTCAATTTTACAATATTCACACATTGCCATAACATTATTTATTTTCTTATATTCGTCAGAACAATTCTTGCCACAGAACTGAAACATTTTACCCTGCAAAGAAATAATTATTAAGTACTAATTAAGCATTTGGTTTCCTCTATGGAAATCCTTATTCCTCTTACTTTCAAAACAACTGGTATAAGACTGAGAGATGAAAAACTTTAAATAATTTTACAGACAGACCCATCTATACTCAAAYCCTTGACATGAACCTATACTTTACCTTATAGTCAAGAAGCTCTGGTTTTGTGGCAAAAAGACGATTACAGTGTTGACACCTGAGTTTCACAACACTCCGGGCAAACCCAACATGCTGGGATTGGGCAGCAAGACGCTGGAGACCAGCAGCAGCAGAGCTACTGATGGAGGTGGGAGAAACAGCAGAGGTGTTACTGCCTCCTGCTGACACTGTTGAACCTGTAGGGATGCTTACAATTACTTGGCCCTGAGACAAGGGCACTACTGAAGAATTCATTCCAGTTGGTTTGTTGAACAAATTCTGAAAATAAATAAATAAATAAATAAATAAATAAATAAAGATCAACTTAAACCATTTATTCACAAAAGCAAGAACTGTGAACCTACGTGTGCCAAGCAGTTTTAGGTATGTAAGACCCATCAGTGAATGGCAAAATACTTTGCCTCTGAACAGCTTATAAACTGAATGGAGAAAATTCACTTATTTCCAAAAATAAAATTATTTAACTAATAATGTTAAAAAAATAATACTCTCTCAATACAAAATATGGTGATAATGATGCCACTTAATTTTATAGAAAGTGGTTTAATAACATGCCTCAAATATAGAAATGAATTACAAATCTAAGTTTACAGGACTGAGACAGAAAGTAGGGAATCCAGACACTAGCAAAACAATAAGTTTATATTACTCCAGCAGGTGACTCACTGACTGATGAAGAAGAAGATTCCTGAAGCCATACCTGGAAAGCTACCACACAACTGTAGCTGCAGAAGTTGCGTATACTTCCATCTGACATGGCTAGGTGATACTGAGGGATTGCTGAGGTTTTACAACTGTTACACTGAACTTGTACACCTTAGCAAATCAAAATAAAAACCGAGTAAATTATACAAATCTATGAGAAATTAAATAAGTRCTATACAATAAACAGAAATTTAAGGGCCAGGTTAAGTTACAGGAACTGACACTAAACTCATGTCACATCAAGACACAAACTAATGTCTAACAGTAAAATCTTTTTATATTACAGTCTACACTGAAAYTACAATATAAATGAATGCTGAAATAAATAAGGTGTGGACAAACCTGAAATATCTTAAATTTGCCTTARAAAAATCAACAAAACACTGTACTAAAAGCAAAGTAAGTATAATTTTCAACTATTACATTCTATAGTTTATGAAAGCAGTATTACCTGCAGAAGTAACCATTTTAACTCTGTAAGCAGATAAGCAATTAACAGAACAGAAAAGCTCTGTCTTCCCCAAGCTATTGGTATTTTCAATCATTTCTGCTGAGGATCTCAATGATTTGCAAAGCGCACATGGTGTAATTTTGGCTGATTTCTATTAAGAGAATAAAACAACATTCTTTTTACCAAATTCCTAGTAAAAGCACAATTCTTTTAACTGTTTATACTTAATACTGTTGAAATACTTTAAGTCAGTGGTTTTTAAGCTTCCACTATTACAATCCTCAGTAAGAAGTTTTACAAAACAAGTCACGCATACTTCTGAGATTTTGCATTTGTGTATTATGTATCTATGTATGTACATAAAACTAAAGTTTCATAGAGCAATATATATCAAAATATATGATGTACTCTGATATTTTCCATTCTATTCTATTTCACTGGAAAACAATACTGGTTATATCCTAACAATTAATTTCCGTATCTATTAATTGGCTGTTTTTAAAAACAATAAATAATCACATACCAATGAGCTCATGCTTCTATGCTATACTATCCTAAAAATTTGAAGAACTTCCCCCCAACGGTGTCATACGTAGCAAAAAAGTGTAAATTTAAGGAACCTAATGAACTTATTAAAAGTTCGAATATTCTACCACCAAAATAACAATGTATATCATAAGCAGTAAAACGGGAGATTTTGCACATCACAAGTGTCCAAATATAAACAACGAACAGTCTGTCATCTTATGTTCTCAATTAGGAATTCAACAGCAAATAATGTTAAATGCTATTAACATGTCACACTCTCCAAACAACATAAGCAGGACCAAGCAGGAGATTTTAAGACCTCTCTTCCCTCTTAAAGAATACATTTCCTGGGGGGGAAAGGAAGGACAGCAGAATAAAACAGACATTATTATTGCTGTGTGTATATACTTGACTGCATGACCAATGTGATTCTGCAACGTGTACACTCAGAAAAATGAGAAATTATAACCAATTTGATTCAAATGTATGATATGTCAAGATCATTGTACTGTCATGTGTAACTAATTAAAATAAAAAAAAAAATACGTATCCTGGGGCTGGGTTGTAGCTCAGTAGTAAAGTGTTTGCCTGGCACATGTGGGGCACTGGGTTCGATCCTCAGCACAACAAAAAGTAAGCAAGCAAGTAAATAGATAGATAGATAGATAGATAGATAGATAGATAGATAGATAGATAAGTGTATGTATCTATATACAACTAAAAATTAAATAAGAATACATTTCTGGGTGCAGTGACAAAACGAATGTCTGTAATCCCAGAAGCTCAGGAGGCTGAGGGAGGAGGATTTCAAGTTCAAAGCCAATCTCAGCAATTTAGGAAGACCCTAAGCAACTCAGTGAGACCATGTCTCTAAATAAAAGCTGGGGATGTGGCTCTGTGGTTAAGCACCTCTGGAATCAAAAAAAAAAAAAAAAAGAAGAAGAAGAAGAAGAAGGAGGAGGAATGCATTTTTGAGCATTGATATTAAAATAGAAACATGAAAAGAAAGGTATGCCTGAATTCTGCAATGTCTTCTAAATCTTAAAACCTTCCTTTTCCCATTTACGACTACAAACACAAACTTCATTTATAAGGCTTATGTCAAGAGTTATTTTCTGTGAAGCTTTTGTCGACACATCTTGTCCTACTGAATATAGATGACTATGTTTACTTTATAACCCACCCTACCCCATAACATATCCACATATCATATGTATTTACTCATGTACATGTCAGGAGACATGCTGTCCCTCAAAATAAGAATTGCATTCAATAATGTACTCAAGAATTACAGTTAAGAAAGAAAGTAACAAAAATAGCTATCAACAATGTGACAGGCTCTATACTAGGTTCTCATTATTCTTTCTTTATATAATCCCAACAACATCTCTGTGACACAGGTGGTACCATAGCCACATGGTACATACCACAGCCGTTAAAACACAGTAAAAGTGGGATTCAGGTAGTTTAACTGCTTTCCACAAACTAAAATTGTATATGAACACAAGGCATGGGAATAAAATTTAGATCTGCTTTAATACTAAATTCCAATTTTTCCCTACCACAGTACATACACTAAAATATGTGAGAAGCTGAATAGGTATTGACTGAATTAAAACTAATTAGTAAGGCCTTAATGTAGCTTAGTGGTAGAACACTTTCCTAGCTATATGTGAGGCCGTAGGTTCAATCCCCAGCACTACAAAAATATAAAATAAACATTTTTTTTTAAGTAATGAATAAATGAAAAGTTAAGGTATTTCATCCTATTTTTTCCTTCTCTTGTGGAATATGAACCATCTTTCAGGGAACTGAGTCCAATAATAGTATCGGATACAATATCAAGAAAATAAAAAGTCCTTTTAATAAGGAAAAGAGAAAGTAGTAATGAAGCTAAGCCCTTTCAATGTGCTGTACATTAACAAGAAATAAACTGAAAATTGTCTTTTACAAGTAAAATTGCAAAATCACATAGTTTTTATAGGAAATTCCCAGACTATTAAATTCACCAATTTCTGTGGGTTGTGTAACAACAACAACAAAAAAAACATTATCTTAATAAAAAATGATTAACTGAATAATTAATTAAAAATAAAAAGCAATTAACTATTCCTTTAGTTTACTTTTTGTTTGTTTGTTTGTTTTCTTAAAGCTGAAGTAACGGGTATTGAACCCAGAGGCATCCCTAGAACTTTTTATGTTTTATCTGACACAGGGTCTTGCTAAATAGCTTAGGGCCTCACTAAATTGATGAGGCTTTGAACTTGCAATCMTCCTGCCTCAGCCTCCAAGCATAAGCCACTGTACTCAGCTAGGGTTACCAATTTTTTTTTTTTTTTCTTTTTTTGAGTACTGGGGATTGAACTCAGGGGCACTCAACCACTGAGCCACATCCCCAGCCATATTTTGTATTTTCTTTAGAGACAGGGTCTCACTTGAGTTCCTTAGTGCCTCACTGTTACTGAGGCTGGCTTTGAACTTGAGATCCTCCTGTCTCAGCCAACTGAGCCACTGAGATTCCAAGCATGAGCCACCCATGCCCACTTAGGTTTACCAATTGTAAAATTAGTATTTAATCAAAAAAATATTACTAACAAAATGTAAGTCTAATACACACAAAACTGCATCAAAGACATGTGTCATGTAGAGTTTATCTGCAAACCTTATCAATTCACAAAATACATATCCATTTATTCTTTCCTATTTCATGACGTAAAAATCCCTTTAGCAATTAAGAGTTTGAATTTCTGTTGCAATTTTAATTATATGGCTCCAATTTCAAAAAATGTAACTTGACCCTTTCTTGTCAAATTAAAAAGTATACATGCAAATCAAAATGTATTTCAAAKATTATGATCCTACACACCAAAAGGACAGGACTGAATAGCTCTGGAAGATAAACTGTATTTCTTCTTCATGCTTTTCTGCATTTAAACAATATTGTTCAAAAATATGAATAACATCTGAAATAAAAACCAATACTCTAAAAACACCTACACCAAATGCATGAACAAAAACTCTTATTACAGGATTTTTAACACACATTCATTCAACAAAACCATAAAATTTTTTTWAAAACTTTTAATATTTTCAGTATTTCATAAATAATTTCTACCAAAAATTTGTATTCCTTGAAATGAACAAAGACATCAGGATTAAATATGGAAAAGTACCTGTTTGTATGCTGTGATACATGCTGAACTACAAAACTTCTTAGACTGCCCTTCTATCTGAAGCATGTGGCACTGTCCAGAGCCACTGTAACAGTAACCCCCACAGTTCTCACAACAGTTCATGGTGAGGTTGTTAGCAGATCTAAACTTAGAGAAACACGCATCACTGCAAAGTTTGTGTACCACATTCTGATAATTCACTTCATGTCGAATCTAGGAATTGAAAAACATACAAACAAAACAACAAGTAGAGACCATCAAAAGTTGTTCTTTAAGCACGCATTAAACTCATTCCCCCAATAAATTTAAAAGGTAACTTACAACTGCATTCTTTTGACACATGCTGCATTTAGTTGAAATGCTATTTGTATTAATGGTAACAATAGGTTTTTTTTTCAGTTCATATGTTGACAAACATGACTGACTGCAAAAATCTTTACTGGTGGTGGTATTTTCAAACTGTGCACTGATCACATCCTTTGGATTTAAAATATCTCTAGAAATGATAACAAAGACAAAATAAGCCACAATATAATTCTTACTTTTTTCTTTTTGTGAATTAAAGTAAACAAATAAAACAGAGGCAATTATAGTGAAGGGAAAAGGCACTGGAATTCATATTTTGAATAAACTTATAAATTGTTCTGATCCTTACATTCTTTTCAATAAAAGAGAATAACCATGTGCTTCATAGAATTGTTGTTGAGTATTAGTATAATGTTTCAAAGATTAAAAAGAAATACACTGAATGATTAGCAGTCACTATTTTTAGAAGTAGGATTATAGATTTTCATTTCTTCAGAATCATCTGTATTTTCAAAATATTCTTTAAAAATAATATTGCATTTGAAATTCTTCAAAACAATTTTTTTTTTAAGCAAATAAATGGGGCTGAAACTATGGCTCAGTGGTAGAGTGCTCGCCTGGCACACGGGAGGCACTCGTGGGTGCGATCCTCAGCACCACATAAAAATAAAATTAAGGTATTATGTCTACCTACGACTAAAAAAATAAATTTTTTAAAAAAAGCAAATAAACATTTTAAACTACACAATATGTATTCCAACATGGATTTATAAAATCTAGTATTTCCTCAACAACAATCTGATTCGTAAGCATCAACAGCAAAAAGCAATAGACTATAAACCCTAATGAATAAGGAAGGYTCCCTATCACTCCAACCCTAATTCTACCACCAAACTCTTCCTACAATAATTTATCAATTTAACTGTAAAACATTTAATAATTCTTACTCAAGTTGGTGAAATTTTGTAAACAGTCTCTCTCATGAGCATACACCGAAAAAATAAACTATTATACCCAGTTCTGCATCTTTAGCAGACTACACTAACAGGACACTTTTTTAGGAAAATAATTATTATTCTGTTTTAATGAAAGAGCACAGTAAACATAAAGGAAAATTACCATAAGAAATAGCTAATCCTGTACTATTCTACATAACTCCATATTTTGTCTTTCTTCCATACTTAGTAGATTAGTAGAGTTTTTATTTCTTTTGTTTTTTTGCCTTTAATTATATTTTAGYGTGTTTCACAGAGGAGTATTTTACTGAACTGATATATTGAACCAGAAATTAGCTAAGCCCAGAGTAAAGACATGGTCCATACATGTGCTAGCTCACAGTTATTGTGACAAACTATCTATTTATTTACTCATTTATTTAATTAATTCATTTATTTATCTACCAGGGACTGAACCAAGGGATGTTTAACCACAGAGCCACATACCCACCCCTTTTTATTTTGAGACAAGATCTCACTAGATTGCCTAGAGCCTTGCTAAATTGCTGAGGCTGGCTTTGAACTTGCAATTCTCTTGCCACAGTCTCTCAGACTGCTGGGAGTACAAACATGAACCACTGAGCCCAGCAAAGACATCAAATTTATAAAAGACTGTTTACTGATGCATTCTTAAAATTTGTAATATTATGATTAATTTTGAAATAGGTATAATGTACAACAGAAATATAAGTGAAGAAATAATTATTTTAGATTGGACCAAATTTGATATTAAAGGCCTCCCAAAAGAATGYGACATATTAGCTGAAAAACTTAGCTCTTAAACAGAAACTTTTTCTAGAAGGTTAAAGAGATGAAGGTTAAGTGCAACATGCATCAAGTATATGGAAGAAGTACCTAAAAATAGATGTCTGTCTGGTTCAATAGACTTAGAACATAATTTAACTATGTTTTATGTGGTAGATGATATCACACACCAGAATGAGAAGCAGCAATCTCATTCTAGTTGGTGAAAATTCAGAAACTGCACAGACAACCCAAAAATGGTAACTTCTTTGAATATTATTATATCAAGAATCTGATSTAACAGAATTATCCTCTAAATTACTTTTTTAATATAGGATTTAAATAGCATTTAAAAATAAATAGTTTACTTCTTCTTACTAAACGAAACCTAAAAATCATATGATGATTGACCAAAATATATTWAGAATTTAGATAAATTCAAGAGACTAAGAGAGATACTTAACAAAAAAAATAAGAAGCAAGCAACAAACAAGTAGAGTRCTGTGTTGCACGCCTGTAATCCCAGTAGCTCAGGTGGCTGAAGCAGGAGGATCTCAAAGCCAACCTCAGCAATGGCAAGGTGCTAAGCAACTCAGTGAGACCCTGTCTCTAAATAAAATAAAATATGGGGATGTGGCTCAGTGGTTGAGTGCCCCTGCAAAAATTCAATCCCTAGTCCCCCCAAACAAACAAAACTGCTACTGTGACGAACAGCTAATAAGTTTTTAAAAATATATACATATTTTAGTTGTATTTTTAAATATATACATATTTTGTTTGTATGTGGTGCTGAGGATCAAACCCAGYGCCTTATACATGCGAGGCGAGCACTCTACCCCTGAGTCAACACCAGCCCCATGAGTTTCTTTTAACCTAAGTGCTGCTGATCTATAAAAAATAGCAGTAGCTTTTAGGAGGAAAAAAATCTTTTCTATTTCTTAATACTTAAAAGTGAAATTCTGGGCTGGGGTTGTGGCTCAGCAGTACAGCGCTCACCTCACACGTGCCAGACCCTGGGCTCGATCCTCAGCACCATATAAAGATAAATAAGTAAAATAAAGGTATTGTGTGTGTCCAACTACAAYTAAAAAATAAATATTGAAAAAAAAAGTGAAATTCTTCCTACTGTAATTACTTTACAAATTAAACCTGTTTGACAATATGGGAAAAAATGCATATGCCAAAACTAAAGCTACATGACACTACATGAATCTTTTAGCTTCTTTGAATTTAAATTTCCTCATATTTAATGAATTGGGCAATTGTATAATCACATAAACCACACTATATCAAACTGTAGTAATGAATGTGTAATAAGGGGGGGAGAGAAAGAAAGGAAAAGTGGTGAATAGAGATGAAAGAGTAGTCAAAAAGTAAAATGGAGCGCAAGGAAAAATAAGATTGATCAGTGGTTGAGGTCATAATAAGAGAAAAAGGTAAAAGAAAGGGGAAAAGTGAGTTAATACAGAAAATTTAAAAAAAGAATAGCCAAGGAGATACGCAGGTAAACAGTACACGAAAGAACAGAAAGTGGGGCAGAGATAAAGAGTAAGGGGTAAATAAAAAAGGCTAAAAGAATAAGTGAATGAGGAAGTAGAACAGTTAAGAGTAAGTAATAACAGGCTTAAAAAATGGAGAATCTCGGCATATGAAAAAAACCAAACATGACAGGTGAAACACAATCTCAGAGAGAAACTGAATCTGTTAAGATCAATGTTAAGATCAAGATATAAAGAATATGACCAAGTAGGTAAAAATTMACCATCTCCAAACAAAGCTATGAAAAACAACAGAGGCCAAAGTGACATGATGAATTTACATGAATATAACATAGATAGAAGCAAGACTATTACATATATTGTATAAATAAAATATAAATATATAAGAAAATGGGCACACATTTTTAAATATTGAGTTTTCTAGGATCACTTTGAAAATAACTGATGTCTTTAAAAGAGGTATCTATTATAAAAGGGGAACTATCACTGAAATTTTAAACTCCTGACCTCTATAATAAGAAAAAGATGTCTTAACAGGAAGTTATCATATCAAATTATTACATGGCAAAATAGGAAGCAGGGAAAAAATCTATAAAAATTATAATTTTCAATTTGACTGAATCTTAGGATCTGATACTACAGTGGAATACAGAAATTACAGACATACAGTTAAATATTCATTTTTAAAATCATCTCTTATGGGTTGGGGATGTGGCTCAAGCGGTAGCGCGCTCGCCTGGCATACGTGGGGCCCGGGTTCGATCCTCAACACCACATACAAACAAAAGATGTTGTGTCCGCCGATAATTAAAAAATAATAAATATTAAAATTCTCTCTCTCTCTCTCTTAAAAAAATTTTTAAAAAAATCATCTCTTAAAAGACAAACAAAAGTATAAAGAGGTCTGTTCTTGTTAAACTTGCTAAAGTTATTATATAGAAATCATTTAATAGTTATGTCACATAAGCTATAGCTATAAGATAATAAGAATAGCTTTTCCCTTCCAAAAGTTAGGATCATTAAATAATTCAATAAATATTTATTAAGCATCTAATATGCTGGCTATCTAGCAGTGGACACAACAGGCAAGTTCCTATCTTTGGGGCTCATGTTTTCTTCCTTTATATTGGAACACCAATATAAAAACACACACAAAAACACCAATCTTATTATTTAATCAAATTTCATTTTTAAATAARAATTGATATTTCTTAGTCTACCTTTTACTCAACATACATGGTTCTAGATAAATTTAGCCACATTTGAACATTAAACAGACTCCCAGGAAATAAAAATTTGATGCAACTGAAACATGAAAAAGAATGCATTTCAGGTTTTTCTTTTTTTTTGTAGTTATAGAAGGAAAGAATGCCTTTGTTTATGTTTATGTGGTGCTAAGGACTGAAMCCAGTGCCTCATGCATGCTAGGCAAGTGCTCTACCACTGAGCTACAGCCCCAGCCCCGTGTTTCATGTTTTAATGTCCCTTTAATGTCTGAAATGCTGAGACCAAAAATATTTCAGATTTCAAGACTTTTCAGATTTTGAAATATTTGCATAGAATTTACTGGTCAAGCATCTCTAATCCAAAAATCTGAACTATTCCAAAATCTAATACTTTTTCAGTACCATGTCAGTGGTCAAAAAGTTTTGGATTTTTGGATCATATCAGACTCAGATTTCTGGATTAGGGATGCTCGACCTGTATTACCTTAAAAGAGATAATTCCAGAACAAAAAGTTGCAGAGTTTGTTTTTGTTGTTAATCTATACCTGGATATCTGAATTATAGTATATATTTAAACAGCTATTTTACTGCCCAAATATAAACAAAATTGTTTCAGGTTGTTTAAAAGAAATGTAGCATAAAAGGATGTACATATAACTTGCTTCTGGCAAAAATCTAATAACCATATTAAAATTTAAGTCTCTTATCTAACTAAGGCACAAAAGGACTATCTTTTCCCCTTTCTAGACACAGAACAGGTGCCATCATGTATCTATAAACACTAATAAAGTATTAATAAATCATGGTTTAAACAGAAGCYAATGTTTCAAGACAAAAAAAAGGATTACTCCTCTTTTTGTAACTTAATCATTAAAAATATTTCTAACAATCACCTCACAAACTATATTAGGGTGGGCTTAGTATTTCTCAAATACACCAATTTGACCTTGCTAAGGTCATGGGGTCATATTTCTTTTTTGTTTTTAAACACTGCAATGGACTTTCTGGGATAGTTCAGAGGTAATAAGAAGATAAAAATATATACACTAGAAGCCATTTAAAGTTAAGAAAAAAAAAGTAAATAAATTCCAATTATATACCAGAATATAAAATATAACTTTTAATATTTTTGTACTATTATCTACAGCTACAAGATAAAWTGTTGTGGTACAACAATACTCTTAAATGCATATTTTTTGTTATATAAAATATCTCAGCTGACAAGTATGAAAGGCTGATTTCTTAAAACATAAAAGTCACATTATTTAAAGCTAAAAGAAAGCTGAGCACCTAGCACCCAGAAAGACTTATAGCCCAACATGTTGGCACTAAAATRTGTGGTACTTCTGATAAAACACAGAAACATAGAAAATTAAACATAACATACAGGCTAAGACCAAAGTATGCTAAAAGAAAAGAAAGAAGATAATTTATAATTCTGCTATACTTTGAGCAACTTGAACAAGTTTTCTTGGTGAGAGGAGGTGGTGGGCGTGCAGGTGGAACTGTGTATCCAGTGAGGCACAGTGTGGAGCAGAAAAGCTGAGTAGATCCTTTCCTCTGATAAGCAGTTTGCCCTTTCTGGAGGATTTTTTTACAACCAGAACAGGAAACTCGAACAGCTGTGGCTGGAACTGAAGGAAGCATTTTATTCATGCCAGATGATGCCAGTGAAGGCTGAAAGCCAGTAGTCAACTGTGGAGCTTCAGAAAAAAATTGAAAGAAAAAAAATGTTTTATTTTTTACCAAGCATTTTAAGTATCCATTCTTTCTTACTTTTCTAGAATAAGTCTTAAAACCCAACAATAATGATACAAGAAATAATTTAAAGGCATTCTAAATGAGCAGAGAGAACTGTCTTATTAATAATACAAGTAGAAACTTCCTCTCATTCATGTTGGTCAGAATAAATATAATTCATTTATTCAGTTTTGTGTCTTACCAAGAGGACTTCCACTGACTGAAAACACAGCACTAATTTTCAGTTCCCCCTCTTGAGTTTTTTGCTGTTGGCCATGACTATACTCCTTTAAAAAGGAAAAAATAAATAWATAAATAAAGATTGAGAAAACAATAAATGCCTAAAGAAATCCAGACATTCAAGACATTTTAATGTTGCTATATCAGTGGAAAATATTTATATTAACATTAATAAGAAATAATAAAATACAAAACAGTAAGCAAACTATAATAAGGTTTTGTGTATACTGGGAGAATAAATGGGAAAAATGAAAGTTAGCTACCTAATGAGCCTGTGGTACTAGATATTTATAAATTAATTTTGAAACTGTTTAGTATTACAGTATTTTAAGTTACAGTTTATTATAAAAGTAATACACACTCTCTATAGAAAATTTAGAAAAGTAGAAATAAGAAAAAAACTAATCATATTTCCATCACCCCAAAAGAACCCACTGTTGTTCTTTCAGTATATTTCTTTCCAGTCTTTTCCCCTCCACTCTTCAAAGGTTTTCTTTCTTTACAGAGTTGTGATTATTCTAAATAAACTATTCTTAAAAACTGATGATTTATTCACATGAATTTCAATCATTTGAATTTTTACATATTATTGCACATTACTCCAAATGACTTCTAATGGTTAAATACCAATGTTTTCAAGACTGAAGTCCAAGAAACCTGTGGTTAAGGCAGTCTGAGAATTCTAAAGTAACATTTTTTTAAATTGTTATTTAAATGATTTTTATATGCACATCAACATTTTAAGTCATGAATAACCATCACTTAAATGAAGTCTAATACAACTGTTGTTTGCTTTTATAMTTATATTGTTGCATCATGATACCATTAAGTGTCAGACTGAACTTTTAAGATATTGTTTATCACATTGAAGTTCAAATTACTGCAAAGATCCCTTATTATTGGAATTCTGGGGTATCTCAGACATACTCCCTTTGTGTGTGTGAGTGGAGAGGAGGTTGTCAGTACGTTATTAAAGTTTGAGAAATATCAAAACATACTACTTACATACATAAGATTACACAGGGACATGACRCAAGTACAGTGGGTACACATGCCTCAGGCACAAAATTAAAGGCACCAAAATGTTCAGCAATTTAGATAGTATTTTAATGTAGCATTTTGAAAAACCAAAATTTATGCAAAAATCTTTGATGAACAAAATAGCAAATTTTTAAATAAAGACATCAACTTTTTTCCTTTTGCCTCAGACTCCAATATGGCCCTGCATGGTACTGAGATTRTATAACCCAATGTTGGTTCATTTAATGAATGTTTCCACACATTTAGTACAATCAATAATTCAATGATTAGTATCTTTTGTGAATACCCATAACTTGATTCTAAAAATAGAATTACTAGATAAAAAGGTACATAATAAAGGCTTTTGATACTCAATGACAGATTGTTTCCCCAACAAAACTATTCTTTTTTTTTTTTTTTCTGATACTGGTGATTGAACCCAGGGGTACTTTACCACTGAGCTACATCCCCAGTCCTTTTTATTTTTGAGACAGGGTCTCACCAAATTGCTTGGGGCCTCACTGAGTTACTGAGGCTGGTCTTGAACTTGTGATTCTCCTGTCTCAGCCTCCCAAGTCACTGGGATTACAGACATGCGCCACCATGCCCAGCTCTAAGCTGATCTTAATTATATTTATTCCAGCTATTCATTTTTTAAAAAGCCAATTCAAAGAGTATTTTCCCATTGTTTCAATTTGCAATTATTTTTAGTGTTCATTTACAAGGTACATTATAATTTACAGAATTAACCTTCTGTAGMATCTTATCAATATTCCCTCAATATGTACTTTGAATTAAAATTTTATGTATGAGGTTTCCATTTTTATGCCAAAAATCTAACAATCTTTACCTTTGTGATTTCTTCTATCTCTTACAAAGTTTTACTTCCACAATAAAATAATAAGAAAGTGGTTTCATTGTTTATTATACAGTCCTTTAATCCAGGGGTCAGCAAACTTTATCTGCAAAGGGCCAGATAGTAAATATTTTTGACTTTGCAGGCCATACGGTCTCTGTCACAACTATTCAACTCTGGTCTCTGTTCCAACTACTCAACTCTGCCCTGGTACAGCAAAAACACCCACAGATAAAATGGAAAAAAATGACCGTGGCGACGTTCCAATAAAACTTTATTATAAAAGCAGTGGATTAGGGTAAAACACACACACACACACACACACACACACAAACAAGGTGGATTGGATTTGGCTAGACACTGATAATTTGCCAACCCTAGCTTTGTTTCTTTCCCTAAATACCTAGTGAATTCCTTCCCACTTGCTATTAATAATAATATATTAAGTTCATGACAATAATGTCTACCTCGGGACTATCTATGCTGTATCATTATCAGCCTAACTAATCTTATACCATACTATTCTAATCAAACAAAATTGTAGGATAAACCATTTAACATGATTTTGCCACTCTCAACCTCCCCAACTATTTTTTAGAATACATAAGTACATAGCTCARTGGTAGAGTGCATGCGTAGCATGCATGAGGACCTGGGTTTAAACCCCACCCCAGTATAATTTTAAAAAGGTAAAAAGATAGAACACATATGCAACATGTTTATATATGCACACCTATTATTCTTCAAAACCTGGGGCCTAACCATTTACATTTCCCTCAGAATTACATCAAATACGCATCTTAAGAATAACTAACATAATATTTCYTATATTTCTTTAAAAAGTGGTGTCTCCATTCAAGTTGTCTTTCATATGACATAAGTACATATTAGATGCTGCTGGGAATACCTATCTTTCTTGTTGTATCATCTAACTTTGGAAAAGTGATATATAGAAATAATACTAACTTTTATATAACTATAATTCAACTAGGTACTCCTCTAAACTTTCAAAAGTTCTATTAATTCTCTAACAAAGATCCTTACCAGCAAATGATGATCATTTTATCTCCTTTTTTCCATTACTTTTTCTTCTAATTTCCTTAACATCTACTGGGCCAAAAATCCAGTAAGAGTTAAATAATACTGTTGACATCAATAAGCTGTAGTCTTTTAACAGAGTATCTATTATAAGAAATGTATAATGAATTACATGAGATGTCTCTTGGCATCTAAGAAAGTGACTATACAAATACTCTTACTTATGCTGCTGATGAAATGTATATATTAAATTTTTTTCATATACTGACATCCTGACATTCCTATATTACATAGWATGTTAAAACAAATTTTCAGTGGGAAAATCTCAGAAAACTACAAAAATAATCAGTGCTCATTAGCTCACATCAGTGGTCTCCAGCAAGCTCTCTGTGATGGCAATTCCAAACTTCTGATGCATTCTTCAACCAACTAGCCTATCTTACTTATATTACTAACAGTAAAATAAGTATATTTGTTAAGTTCTCTGTTTGAATACACCATTTATATTACTAATAGTAAAATAAGTATATTTGTTAAGTTTTCTGTTTGAATACACCATATCTTCAAGGCAGAATATCTGGTTTATCTGTATTCCTCCACAATGAGTACTTTTAAGAAATGAATGCGTGAGTAGCAAATAATTGTTAAATGTATTTGAGAACTGATTGATGACCCAAAAAGCTTTTAAAGGAAAAAAACACAGGTATCACCACAATCATTTACCAATACCCTTACTTTGTTTACCACAGAAAGATCCATATTAATATCCCAGGACAGTATTTTAGACATGAAGAACACAGTTTCTGCAGCCAAATTAACTTGTTAAGGCTAAAACAAAGTCCTAAGATTTGAATGACTGTATTAAACGTTCCAAGACTATGTGAATCACTATCATGAAAATCAGTTAAATTTGCTTTCCCATCTTAGTTTATTTATTTCAATGAGAGATTATAGATTAGTTCTCCCTAATCAGGCAAAATAGCACATTCCTGTACTCCTAGCAACTCAGGGGACTGAGGCAGGAAGATCCTGAGTATGTGACGCCAAGCCTCAGCAACTTGCAACTTAGTGAGACCGTATCTTAAAATTTAAAATAAAAATAAATGGAAAAAAATTAAAAATAAAAAAACCTGTGGCTGTAGCTCAGTGATAAGAGCATCTCTGAGTTCAATCCCTAATACCAAGAAAGGAAGAGGGTTGGAGAAAGCTCTCCATCTATTTTTATGAGAAAGAAGAAAAGAATCATGATTTTCACATAGGTGTCTCGTTTTCAGAACCAATGGAAAAAAAGGAAAAGAAAATGTGAGGTCTCTGGCCCTCCTTAAAATTTCTATTTTAAAACCTTCTCTTGGCATTTTAAGAAATGAAGCAACTTTTACTTACAGAAAGATTGGTAAATTATCAAAAACAAGACCTTGATTATGACCCCACTCTGGCTCTTTCCTGGACATAAGACCTTGAGTAAATAACAATCTCTAGAAATGCAACTACCCCATTCAAAAGTGGTAAATATCCTTTACTCTGGCCATCTTACAGAGTGTTGTTGAGTGGATGAAATACCACAGTACATATAAAAGCATCTGTACTTATTTTTTTTAAAAAAAAAAACTATAGAAAATACTATAGTAACATGAAATGGAACTAGAATGAAGAAATGAAACTGGAAAATCAAATGAAGTTATGCCAATAACAGAACCAGGAGGAAGTGACAAACAAACCCAGAAATTTATAACTGAAGAAATAACCATGAGCAAACGGGTAGAAGTTAAATATACATACACACATTTCAGTAACTTTGCAGTTTATATATAAGTGAAGAAATTAAAACCAAAAGGAGAATTAAGAAGTGAACTGAGAGCAAAAACTATAAAATTAAGCACAAAGAAAACCAAGGGAAGTTTTGAAAATGTGTCATGAGCTGAAACTATGATTTTATTAAACCATGAGAAAAGTTATTAGTAAATGATAGTCAAAAGTAAAGGTTGACCAACTGTAAAGTCTATCAGTATTTATAAGAAGGTTAAAGTGATATTTTTGAGACTATGAAAATAATACATAGGAAATCCCTTTTTTAGTCTATGGGAAATGAATAAGATTAATAAAGCATTATGCAGTACTGAAAAGCAAGTAATATAGATTTCTAAGGGTCATGGGGGAGAAATACCTAAAAGAACAGGACAATGAAGAGGGAGAAGGAGGGGGGTCAGGAAGGGAAGAGRGAGGAAGAAGGAGAAGGAAAGACAAGGAGGAGCAAAGAACTAGTATCTATAGTTTATAACATGAGTCCCCTGGGGAATTCCAAAAGAATTATCAGAGGTCTGCTTCAACAGGATTAGTGTGGCTCACAATACAGAAGACTGCTCAAGGAAAACCTACCTTTATCTACTCACATCCTGGGACTGCTTTATTACAGGGGTCAGGGTAAAGAATGCTTTTGGATCTTATGACTCGGACCTACTCATATTACTGCTTCATTCTTAAGAATCCAACCATGTGATGAGCCTTTGGGGAAATTCTTCCCCATAATCAGGATAAAACTTCGAGTTCAACATTTTATAGCACATTTTATAATTTTGAGTAAGTGTGTAAAAAATAGGCATTTCTATCCATCCATCCTATTTATATGCTCCAGCCACTAATGCCCTCTATCCCCACTATATTTGGTCTTTCCTAAAACTGTTTTTTGTCCCAAAGAAATGTCACTGGGTCATGCACAAGAGAAACAGATGTCTTTGGYGTCCTGCCAAAACTATGAATTCTTATGACTTTCCCATGTCCACACTGGAGCATGTAAGATTTGAGATCTACCCATAGTTGAGATCTACAGTCATAGTTGTCATCTTCTGAGGCATATACTATCACATGAGTTTTCCCTGGGTGTCAGGACATTTATCTCTAATCCAAAAATCTACAAACATGTTCACTCTACTTTCTATTCAATATTTCATATTCTTTTTACTGTCTTCTTCTAGAACCACACTCATATCAATCCAACTCCTATAGCTTTATTGTCACTACCCTAATGCATATATACCTCCTCTTGGGCACCATGAAATTCTGGCTTCATTGGGTATCAATCTGACACATACAAATCACCTACCTCCATAATCACCTATTCTTCCATGGATTKACTCTAGAACAGTGGTTCTCAATAGAACATGATTTTGTTCCCAGGGGACATTTGGCAATATCTGGAGACATTTCTAGTTGTTACAAATACAGAGAGAAGTAGAAGCCAAGGATGCTGGTAAACATTCTGCAATGCACAGGGCAGCCCCTACTAATAAGAGAATCTGGCCCAAAATGCCAATGGTGCTGAGATTTGAGAAATTCTGCTCAAGGAGACCTGAATAAAAAAATTATCTTCCACAGAAGTCCTACATTCTTAAGTCCTCTAATAAAACAGAAATATAGGAAAAGATATGCCAGTCATGGTGGAACATGCCTGTAATCCCAGCGACTTAGGAGGCTTAGGCAGGAGGACACCAAGTTCAAAGCCACTTTGCAAGGTTCTGAGCTACTTAGTGAGACCTTGTCTCAAAAAAATAAAAATGGGTTGGGGATGTGACTCAGTGGTTAGGTGACCCTGGGTTCAATCCCCAGAACCAAAAAAAATAAAAACTATAACTTTCCCCAGATCAAATATAATTTCAGAAAAACAGCTAAGTCATGCTATGTTCACTTCTTATCCTCTGAATTCGTGTCATCTGTACAAAATAGACACCTTCAAATAATTGTTATTACTGTATATTCATCCCTTAGACCCCTTCCTATATTTAAAAATGATGATGGCATCTGATATAACTTACTTCTACCATTCCAACTGCTGAAAGTCATGAACTGGATATCTTAGTTGACTTCAGAACTTCACAGTTACAGGACACCTATGACTTTTACCTCCACAGCAACTTAAAATAGCAAAGCTCCATGCTTACCCTCAGTACTCAAAATCTCAAACTTGGAAACATGTATCACTCACCAAAGCTTCCTTTACTTTCTACCCATTACTCCAATAAACTGGTTCTTTGCTCAATTAACCCTTCCAAAGATAATCTGCCCATTAACCCCAACCTGAAAGACAATAAATCCATATCTAACCTGTACTTCATTAGCAGTAACTGCAAAGAATTACTATTCTGTATGCAATCACACCACAAACCYATAATCTACCATAAGCCTTCATCAATATCTACTCTATCAATCTCAAATCCTTAAAGACTCACTGTTTCCCTAAACCTGCACTGAAATGCTTTACAAAAATCACAGTGGTATTAACAAACAAAGATAATTAAAAGCCTTAATTACTACTTGGGAAATTTTTCATTTAACTCTTGTTAATGCCTTGCAAGACAATTTGAATCACCTCAACCTCCTTTAACAGTCTCCTTTCACCTTGTCAACAAACAACTTCACTTCTTAAACACTTCCTCTCTCAAATGAATAATTCAAAGTGTGGAACAAAAAGAAGGGGAGAAAACAAAAAGGTGAAATGTTTACTTGAGCATTTTCAGGTTCATCTTTAATTTTGTCTAGTAGTCCCTGCTGTGGTGCCATTGCTTTGTCATACTCATCATCCAAAGGTTCTTCTTTAATTCTAATATTTGATGCAAAGGAATTCCCCAGTTCCGAACCAATGGATTCTTTATTGGCAAATGGGTAGCTGGAATCCTAAAACACAATATAAAGGATTAATAAATATTCAAATTTAAAAATTATTCCTCTTCAGGTTTAACACCCAAAGAAAAGCTTATTGGAAATGAAGAACTGTGGACATTCATCAGGCTCCCTATACCTAAAAGTAAATGTGCTATAGGTCTAAATATCAAATATAAATAAAGAACCTAAGAGCTGAGGCTTCTTAGAATGTCTCCAAATATGTCCTTACCCAAATAATAAAGCAAATWAAAAAAAAAATCAGTGTTCTACCTGACACATAGAGTAGAAAGTGACATACAGAAAAGTTTGACACTTGCCACAGTTAACAGCAATCTACATACACACTGAAAACTTACCCTAAAGTTTGTTTCTGGGGTTTGTGGTAAATGGGTATGTAATGTTTCTTCAACTTGATTAGCTATTGAAAGAAAAACAAACAAACAAATACATGTATATGAATAACAAATCTTATTAAAAATGACCCCAAAACTATCATTTGATAATCGCCTCTCTTTTCTAACAGATATGCTCAATAGATTGAACTGGGTCCCCAAAGAACACCCAAAAGGAAGTTTCACTCAAAATTACTCACAACCTAGCCTCACCTACCTTTTAGCATTACTTCATACCTTTTCCTTGCTGCAACATAAAATGGCTACTTTATTCACTGTGCTCTGAAAATAATACTTGTGTTTGTTCTGCACTCATTTCTGCTAATTCTACTCCAAAGTCTCCTCTGTCTATCCTAATATTTATAATTTTCCAGATTCTGCTTAGTTCAAAATTCACCTCTCCTCTATAAAACACTCCCTGTTCACTAAGTTAAAAATTATCTCTCTCCTAAGAATCCTTAAAACAGAGTGTTTCAGCTATTTGAAAGAAATCTTATATTGCCTTATGATAGACTCTTCTAATATTGCATTTAATTATAAATTAAATCTTTTGCTATTCAACTAGTCAGCTATTTGATGCTTTTTCCCTTCTACTACTCCTAGACATTATGTTCCTTCAGAAAAAGGACTCCCTCAATTTTCATTATCCTCTACAGGGATACTAAAAATATATACTGAATTACATAAATCAGTAACACCGTATATCCTTACAGAACCTTGTACATAATAGTTGTCCTTATAAACAATATAACTTTGTTCTTTCTACTACATATTAACTAGCATTGTCAACAGAAATATGATTRGCATAATGCACTTGCTTTCCTTTGCGTCAGTTTAACATTGTGGAAGGATTACATTTTTCACTGCACAAGGTTAAGCTCCAAGAATACAAAGATGAATACGATAAAATGCAGCTCTCAAAAAACTCCTACACTGGTAGGTAAAGCAAAAACAACAATAACAACAAAAAGAGAAATATAATATTGTTTGATAAGTACTATAAATGGGGCTGAAACAAAATGCTGTGGAAATACAGATAAGAAAACAATTCATTCTTGATATAGAGCAGTTAGGAATAACTATAGAGTAGAAAAGGTTTATAAGTTAAGCACCATTCAAATAAAAGGCACTTTTATAGGCACATGTACAAAGATAGAAAATGACATGCAGGCAAATGGAACAGCAAGAAAGGTAAAGAAGAAAATATACAGTATATTCAAGAATGGAACTGGAGCTAACATTTGTTACAACTGGGCAAAGAGACTCAAAAGGAGCCTCAAGAAACTTCTCCAACATAAAATTGATTTTTTTTTAATCTTTCTATACTAATTGGTGGGACAGCAGTTTGAATGAGTGCTTACAGCACAAAGAAGTTAAATCCAACTTCAGGTTCCAATGCTCAATCAAAGAAAATGAACAGGTGATTCAAGTATCTTGTCTTCTCATCAAAATATTGCAAGCAAAGGGAAGGAGAAATGAGATTTAGAGCTATTTTTCAATCATTTATATCATTACCAAAAGTTACTGGGATAAATTCAGTCACTCTGCAAAGAACAAGGATAAAAGAAAAATGACAAGCTTACAATGAATTTAACTGTTCATATTTACTTAACATTGAAAGTAATAAAAGCTATATTATTATCAATACTTTGTTACTGTGTTCATGGTGCTATTCCAACAATTATTACCTGCTTTATCAAAAAAACTGCTTTTCAACCTTGAATCCAAATCTTTATGGGGTTTATCCAATCGTTTTTCACGTTCATGATAAGTTAGGTCTCTATTTTTCTCCTTTCCAGAAAATGTCTCTTTGCTGTTTTCTCTTACTAGACTAAAATCTTTCCGTATTGATTTAAAGACAGAAACCTGATCAAACTGTTTAGGAAAGTCTTTTTTTAATTTATTCTGAATTTGTATTTCATTTTCATTGTCTGATTCATGCTGTGTGACTCTTCTCTCTACTTCCAAGCTATCATCAGTATGGATTGAAGAAACAAGATTGTCCTTTGAACTAAAATCCTGTTCATCCTCATTGTCACTACCAACGACTGGAATTCCTGCAAGATCCCCAGAGTTCAAAAAATAATCATCTTCATCCAGCAATGAATTTTCAGATCCTGTTTGATTCGGCATTCCATAAGACATGCTGTCAAGGGTAGGAGTTAAGTTGTGGTCTATATCTTCAGACATTTCTGTATCCATGATACCACCACCTTAAAAAGTAAAATACTGTTTAGACAAATGATAGTGCTAAAAATGACCACAATTATAAGGTCTGTCTGGTATTTAGCCAAACATATATATATATATATATATATATTTTTTTTTTTTTCTTTTCAAACAAAATAGATAATATAACCATAGTATTCATTTAACACTGGATATATGTATGACAGACATGATTACCCTTATCCAACAGTTAAAAGAAATAGAGAACCAAAACTTGAAAAACTACTTTGGTTACAAAGGAAGACCACATGACATAAAGAAAAGAGGACCAACTACAGAATCAGACTTATCTGGTTTGTAATCATAGTATAATCCTGAAAATCTATGATCCTAAAAAGTTAACTCAGAGTCTATAGATAAAACAGCATAATACTCACCTTGGAGATTAATTTATGGTGAGAATTACTGATAAATAAAGGACTTACTGACATAGTGACTGAAACAGAGAAAGGAATATGAAGTGCTAACTTTAATTTTACAATTCTGGATTCAGCTACCCAGAATACTCACTATTATAGAACCCAGATTTCTGGTCCAAAAAGTTCAACTTACTTTCTTTTTTTCTTTTTTTTTTTTTTTGGTCTGTGTGTGTGTGTGGTACTGGGGATTGAACTCAGGGCTTTGTGCATGTGAGGCAAGCACTCTACCAACTGAGCTATGTCCCCAGCCCTTCCATTTTCTTTGTGTTAACACTAATTCAGACTTAACACAGTTAATATTTACAAAAGAAAATATTTAAACATGAAAATAAAATTTAACCATCCTAGATTAAAAAAAGAGTTTACTCTTTATAACTATATGCTAAAGTCTCTCCCATTCCAAAATTGTTTTTTAAAAAAGAAGACCCCCAACCCTATACTGTCCTTAATTATCTTTCCTACATGAATTTATAGAAAAAATCAGTCCTTTGAGCTTGATATAATCAGCTCCCAACTTTCTGCTGAAATTATTCTCACTAACAACATTAGAGTCAAGTCCAACTGATTATTTTCAAACCTTAAGTGGTATGTTCCTACTGGATAAAATTCCTTTGGTTTCTTTGACAATGAATTTCTTCTCACCTTTCTAACTGGCCTATTAACTTATTTTATATTCCTTTTCCTGTTCATGTCTTCAATATTAGCTTTTCTCCAGAATTCCAGTTTCTTATTCCATACACTAAGATTAAAATATTTTATTCACCTGCATAGCCTTTTGCTACTGACTTTCTAATTAGATATCTATATTCAATTAGCTCCTTTGAATGTAGGTCCCTAAGGAATTCCAACTTAATAACTCTAAATTCAAACTCATCATGTAACTAATCCAAGCTAACACTTCTTGTATTTCCCTCACTTGATTAATGACTTTGCTAAACCAGCAACCGTTCAAGATATGAGAGAATTCTTCCAATCTCCCTCTCCCCTGGCAACTTCTGTCAACTCTATTAGTTAATCTCTCTCAGACATTCAGCACCTAGTTCTAGTACTTCAAATTTCTTCCTGTACTGCTGCAGTATCTTTGACAGTGCACTAATTCAGTCCACATAAACATTTAGGAAATAATTATATTCTTACAAACCCTGGGCCCAGAACACATTTAATTGGTCCACAAATAGGCAAACCAGAACTAATAAAAACAGTGAAACGAAGAATGAAAATATTACAACATTGGCATCCCTGTTTTTATCTGTTCCTGAAACCCAGATATAACTTCAGGTGGTAGGACCATTCCTCAACAATTCCTTGGACTCCATGATTCAATATATTCCCCTTTTTACTTTAGGTATTTGTAATAAAGTCCAAATGATAGATTGATTTATTTTTTTATTCTTTATTTTTTATTTGTTCTTTTTAGTTACATGACAGTAAAATCTACTTTGATATATTTGTACAAATATGGAATATATCTTATTCTAATTAGGATCACAGTTGTGTGGATGTACTCAAATGAGAAGTTTTCCTCAAGTTATCCTCTCGTAGAGACACCAGAATTATCTAAAACATTAATCATTCCATATTATTCTCTCCCCTGAGATCCTTCAATAGTTCCCCTGGCTTAAAGAACTGACTAACTCATTCAGCACATAATCTATGGTAAACACTGTGCTAGGTACCAAGGGTAAAAAGATGGTAATGATTTCTGTTCCTCAGAGCTAGAAAAACAGTAAAATGGAAAACTTGAAAACAGTGTGATAATAGGTAAATACAACTTTCAAGTTCATAATGCTATCAGGAGAGATAAAAGCATTCTATTAAAAAACCATTTTTGGTTTAATATATCAGAAGAATGATTGCTAATAAATGAAGAGAAAATAATGGGCCAAAAAAATCACTCTTTTCTACTTTCTAAAATAATAATAAATTCAGAGAACAAATGGTAAAACAGACGCTAAAATCTTAAAGGACATATGTACTAAACAACTTACATGATGAGTCATCATCATGACTGTAACTTACTTTCTCACAGTAACCCATACAGAAGAAGCAAGGCACGAGAGAACAGCAGAAACAATACTATAGATATTATTATTTTAATTTTTCCATTTATTTGAAAATTCTCATAATAAGAAAAGATTAGGAAGAAAATACAAATAACCAGAGTGGCCACACACACACACACACATACACACACACATCTACCAAACTGTAAGCACCTAAAGGTCAGTGTTAGAGCCTTTTCTCTACAACGGTTTATCCTTACTAGCAGGCCACATGGCATATGCTCTGTAACAATTTCATGAATGAAATGCATTTTAGAAGATCCAAAGTTTAAGTTCTACTATAGATGAGATATCAATACTAAAAAGCAATACTGCAAGCAATTCTCCTTACCTCTACATTTAAATTCAGGATATGGTATCAGGAAATAGATAGTCACCTGGAAAAAAACGCATGCCTAACTCACACCAAAATAACTTCCATATGTACCTAGTTTAAAAATTTTTTTTAAAGAAAACATGAAAGAATTATTTTTGAGTCATAAAACGGAGCAAGTTTTTGTAATGATAAAATGAAATTAAAATACCAGTTTATTGAAAAAAAAAATCAAATGTGACTACAAAAATTCCTATAGAAGAAAAGAATCAAATTTAAAAGATAGAAGGATAAACTGGCTAAAAAGATTTCACTGCAGTATATCATAAAGGGTAATCTCTAAAAGAAAAAGAAGAGACACAAATAAAAGTAAAGAATCTGAACAAACATTTCAAAGAAGGGAAATACCAAGGATCAATAAAAGAAATGCATATTAATAATGCAATGAGCTACCATGTTCAAATAGCAGGTTGGTAATAACAAAAAGTTTTGGTATGTCTTTCAACAACACTGCACACCAAAGCTGTCAATTATGGCCCAAGGCCAAAAAATAAGAATTATGTGACAGAGATCAAATATGGACTACAAAGCCTAAAACATTTACTATGTGGTCCTTAACAAAAAAATATTTTCCAACCCCTGTAGTCAAACACTATTGATAGGAATGYAAACTGGTACAAAGCTAATAAAGAATGGAGACAATATTTATGATGCTTTAAATAGACATACCTCTTGAAACAATCATCCTTTAAGAATTTATCCTGAAGATATAATCTCACAAAAGATCTATGAAAGATGGTTGGGTTGTAGCTCAGTGGTAGACTGCTTGCCTAGCATGTGTGAGGAATTGGGTTCAATTCTCAGCACCACATATAAATAAAAGTCCATTAACAACTAATAAAATTWAAAAAAAAATCTATGAAAGAACATCTATAGCAGCAAAAACCTATAAAGGGCCTACTTGTTCACCAATAAGAGTAAATTAATTATAGTCCGTAAACACCTACAACAAAATATTGTGCAGTTGTTAAAAAGAATGAGGTGACTTTGAGTTCCCAAGATCTAATGAGTAAGGAGAAAAATACACATACACACACACACACACACACAAATACTATACATATATAAAGGTTATCACTGCATAAAACATCTTCCATTGATTTTCTATGAGAAGCAAAACTGGATGCCTGGAAAACAAACTACTTACTTTTCATAGTATGACCATTTTCATTTTTGAGTTTTGAAGCACATGCATCTATTATCTATTAATATTTTTTTGAATCTTATGCACTGGAGACTTAAAGCTTTTTTAGGTGTCAATTTCTAACAAAACACCTACTTCGAATTTGGTACTTGTCACACAATAAATCTGCAGGCGCTTAAACTCTTACATGATTAAAATGTGATAAGTATATTAATGAACTAAAATAATTTTTTCCACCATTGTTTCAGAGCCCAGATCTTATGGGGAAAAAAAAAAACCAATATATTGATCACATTAGCTCACACTTGAAAGCACAAATTTCTCATGGAAGATTCCTGGGTTTTAGACTCCAGGAGTTAAGAATGTGTCACCTCAAAATATGCCAAATTGAGGGCTGGGGTTGTGGCTCAGTGGCAGAGCGTTTGTCTCGCACATGTGAGACCCTGGGTTTGATCCTCAGCACCACATAAAAATAAATAAATAAAATAAAGGTATTGTGTCCAACTACAACTAAAAAAATAAATATTAAAAAAAAGCCAAATTGATAAATTGACGATTTCAAACCTAAAGCATCCAGGAATTGTGGCTACAGGAAGGACCACTTGGCCTGTGCTTTCCTATGTGCAGCAAGCCATATCCTTTCTCATCAGAGAGATATTGGGGATAAAATGAATCTGAATAAATAAACTTGCTGGAGTAGGCCCTGATGGTTCAGATTTATACCCTTTCCATATGTCTCTTAGTGACATTCCTAGAATTTAGTTATCCAGGTATCCATTGTTCTGTCTTCCCCCTCCCCACCCCCCGCCCCCACACACAAATTTATTGTTCTATGTGTAAAGAGTAGCATCTTGTGTTGGTCATTTGGACTTAAGTTTCTTGTGAAAGTCCCATGTACATGTAAAATTATTAAAACTTTTTTTTTATTTTTTTATTTTTTTATTTTTTTGTTGTTGTTGTTATTGTTAATCAGCCTTATATTAAT